TATATAAGCCAGAGTCCAAAATAAGTTTTACTGCTGTCTTCTATGACTTAAGTTTTCACTCCAGAATGTATATGGTCTGACAGAGCTTCCTCTGTTATCATTATGCACAAATCACATATTGTCTTACTTTCAAAAGTACTTAAATATATGCCTAACCTTAAGTATGTAAGTATTCTACATGGGTTTTCTGAATCTAAGTTTTCCTTGTCTCTGTGACAGTGTTAATAAGATTTTTTTCTATCCAACACCTGGATATGACTTGAAGCAAAATTGCAATCTCTATATGGAAAGCAACTCTGAAGCATAAATTATTACTGCAAGGTGCCTAAGGAATCCATCTTGGTGTTTTATAATAGTGGTCATTTCATAGCAAAGAAGCCGTGTCTGAGGGCAGTTATTATGTGCATTTTTATCAGGTTTGCCTGACATGACTTAAGAATGAGTCACCCTTGATCCAAATGTGGGTTCAAGTTTTTCACTCCGTTGCCAGAATATGCTCTAAATCCCCTCACAGTTGAATTCCCCGAAACAATAAATTGAAAAGTGAGATGCCCAAAGTCAGAAAGCTCAGTGGCTGTGTTATCACTGTATTTTGTACTACCAGAAAGCACCATCTTCCTCTTGGAAGACAGAGTTCTTGAATCTTTTCTGAAAGATAGCTACCTCTGTCCTTCTTCCAAAAGTGGAACAGAGATCATTTGTTCCTCCTAAAAAGACAGCTGTAGATGCTAATAATTCAGTGGTTAGAGCACTTGTACTCACTTGCCTGAGAGTTGTATCATAAATTACCATTCCTACAGCTGTGTCTATGACCCTCCCCACCACTCATTAAGTTTTCCAAGTGAGTGTGCAAGAGAGCAGTCTTCACCTCAGCCCTTGAAATAGAAAGTTTCTGAAAGAAAATTGTGCCAGATTCTGTGAACTCACTAAGAAGCTACAAGTGCAAGCCTGACTGTCTCATCCAGTGACTGGAACACCCTCTCAGGAGTTGGAAAACCTAATCCTATCTCTACCATTATGATTTGCATATTCATTTCACTTTAAACAATCTCTGAAAGAGGTTCTAGCACAGGTCTAGGTCTGTCTTGTTCAATTAATCTTTGATTTTTTCCGTGATATATAATGAAGGAGTGGAGAATTGTTCTTCCTTTCTCTTCACAGGTTGCTCAGTATTAGGGCATTTCTCTGAAGTTGAGAGTTATGGATTTGCTCCCATCAAAATGGTGGCAGGATTTGAGTATGGAAGATACACACATAAAAATATCTGATAAAACTACAGCTCATTCTCAACCTGGCTGTCAAATCCACTTATATACTTTCTCCCACTAGTGTATCTTATTCCAAAAGTGCTTACCACCTCTGTGTACTCAATTCCATAAACAACTTCTACAAATCTTCTCTCTCTCATAATGATGTAATATTTCACAGAAAAAAATAGTTGTTCAATGTGTTGAAACTTCTCCAGCTGAAAACAAGATTATTCTTTTTATCCTTTCTTTCTCTAGTTTGAATTCAGTCATTGTTGGCCTATGTGTCCCTACCTCCTGAGTTTAGTCTGGGAGTATTGCTTTTCTTCTCCTTCTTCTTTTCTTCCAAGATCAGTGGCAAAGTAAAGAAAGGCAAAGGTTTCATATTTAGCCCAAAAAAATAAATCCACATCCCCCACTATCCTTGCCCCTTTATGGAGAGATCTACTTCATAGTCCTGTCTTCCAGGTTCTAGGTTGCAAGCATCCACAGATGGCTGTGCTGAGCGATTGCACAGCTGCAAATGTGCCGCCAGAGCCCTGAGCTTCGAGAACAGTAACTGGATTGAATTCCTCAAGAGACAAGAAGTAGCTTGTGACTTTTGATTTTAGCTACAAGCAAGAATCTGAGAATCTGAGCTCTGGTTGTGGAGATGAATGAACTTCACAACCTAGAGTTAAAAAAAAAAAAAAAAAAAAGATTTTTTTTAGTGAAAGTGAGAAAGATTCATGGGTATATCAGACGCATGACTTGAGTTTTCCAAAGTGTTTATGTCTGTTTCCTTTTTAAGATCTCAGCCTTGGTTAAATGTAGATTCTTTTATTTGTTTAAAAAATTGATAGTTATATTGTTTGTTAACCCAAGGGAACTCAACTGATGTAAGTCTGACTATTATTTGATTTACTCAGCAACAGAACTTTTTCTATACTTACAAAGTGTTATTATTGTAAAGATTGTAAAAATGATATGCTGAGCCATTATGAGACTATATGTCTCATGATACATTTGTCAGTGAGAATATAATAGTGAGATTTCTTAATTGCTTTTTAAAAAACAAATATCACATTTATTATTCCTATTTCTTTTTAAGTGAAACTATTCAAATGATAATTAAGCCTCAACAAGCTACCACAAGTATAGAAATTAAAATGTTAACACAACTCCATGATGTACACTGTCATTCATTCACTGAAGAATGTGGATAAAATCAGTTATAAAAGGTCACTCTGTGACATTGCAGGACTGAAACTGACATTCATTTTGAAATCCAAAATGAATTCAAAATAACTTTGTAAAGGAATTTACAAAAGTCATATCAGAAGGACAAGCTGATGATAGATATTTTCTCAGTTCTGTTTTTTTTTTTTTATAACTTCTGTTGTCAAAGTGTTTTGGGAGTGCTTCATCTCCGAGACAACACAATTTCTGGATTTTGACTAGTTTCAACTACATTTTAAGTCTGTAGCCTTGCTTAAAACAGAATCACATCTCTTAAGAAGCGTCTGCAATTTCCCTCTGTTATTTATGACCTTGCTTTTCATATTTTAGATGAGCAATTTTTTTTAGCTTTATATCTTAGAAGACTAAAAAGGTCATTATTTATCCCTTATGGTGAATAAAGAGAAAGCCTCAGAGCTACATAAGACCTCCAAATGGACAGAAAGAGCCTGGGTGGGCACAGTCTCCTGAAATATCTGTGAATGAATGAAAGAGAGCTCAAGAAATGGAACAGATAAATGAAAGCTTGGCTTTCTGTCACTTTTGGTTTTTTAAATGCCATTAATTTCTATGTTAAAATACACTGTTATAATCGCTCTTTGCTGTGAATGAGCAAGATGATGTCTGTTAAATGTGTCTAATAGCATGAAGGTACCTACTGTAATAGCAGTTTATAGTAGTGTGAACTGAGGACTCATGGAAACAGAAGGAAAAACAAACAAACACTTCTCTCTCAGTAGTCTTTCATTTTGGTATTCTTTCATCTTTAGAGGTAACAGAAGGGCTGGGCCCAGGCCTGCTGCAGAAGGTTTCAGAGCATGGTATAGTCCTTGTGGGCTAGGGATTTCCAATGTCTTGGATAAATGCATGTTTTTTTCTTCACAACTACTTGGCCTCACTGGAGGAAATGTAGCTTGTTACTCTACTATTTGGAGATTGTGGGGACTTGACTTTCAGTCCAGGGGTAACTGAAATTAATTGGGTTTATGGCTAAGTTATTCCTGGGGAAAGAAAAAAACCCATTTACTATCAACATATATACTTCATCAGTCATTTTAGTCAGAATCCAACAGCTTCCCTGTATAATGGGCTGAATGTGGCCTACAGCATGGTTTGACAAAGTATAGCAGAACCCTCAACTTGTCTTCATGCACAGCAAACTATAGAGCATTTTCATTTCGAAGTAATTCCTAGAAATTCTTAAAATTACTAATGATAATTTTAATGGCAATGAATCCAAAAGCAAAAAGATAATCATGCAGCAAACCATACAAAATCAGAATTATGCAGCAAGTCTATACCTCTATATTTTTTGAGTGAAGATTTTTTCCTGATTGGAAAAATGACTTGAATCTAGTGAGCAAATACATCTTTAGTTGCTTCTCTGTCAACTCAGTAAAGCCTGGGCAGAATAGCCTCAGCTATTTCAGGGGAGATGACCTTCTCATCCTAAGGTTTATTTTTTTCTGCAACTGCTGATGCAAGAAAATTGTTGGGAGCTGCTGTTATTCAGTTACCCTTAAGGCTAGTTAGTAATTATTAAAGACAATTACAAGATATGTTAAATTATTATGTGATGTTATTTGAACAGGTTAAAACTCATTAGAAACCACATAAAAAATTCTTTTATGAATGCCATGAAACAGTCCAGTACTTCACTTCTGTGTCATAGGCAAATTTCTCTGATGTTACAAGCACACATTTGCAGCACAGTGCTAGTACACAACCAGGACTGAGTGGATGAAATATACATTCAAAATCACTAGATTTAGGTTCTAATTTCTTTTACCATTGTTAAAGCGTAGTTTGGGGAACACTTTCTTTGCAGTAGCGATGGCCTAAATCTCTTTTACTTCTATGCCCTCCCTCAAATCCTGCTTGTTCTCACTGTCACGTGGCTCCCAGAGCTGTGCCAGCTGCACAGATTCTTGCATAATCTGTGCCCCTGGCCTGAGTGTCTGTGTGTCATCTTAGAGAAATCATTTACTCACTCCAAACAACAGCTCAGAGCCTGAAGAGAGTCCAGGGAAACTTTTGCCATTACATCTATTTGCAAATTACTTCCAATGCTGGTCTTAGCAGCTGACTATTGAGTGCTTAGCTGAGCTGACCTTACACAACGGCTCAATAAACCATTCTGTTGAGTTAGATGTTGATGACTTTTCTCACATTTTAAAGTTTTATTTTGTACAGATTTCACAGCTGTTTTCTTCCATTTTGCATGAAATAAACCTTGCACAAATAAATAAACTTATTCTGTGAAACAGCATGCTTAAGCGCAATTCTATGTCAAAAGACTCAAAAGAAATTACTAGGTTTAAACAATAAAACTGATATCTCTTTTTCCAAAATATTGGAATAAATAAATAAATAAATAACCAATCATGCCATGAACTTGAAAAAGAACTTGAAACCACAGAATCAGAAAAGAAAATATTAACACACTCTTGATTTGAGAAGCATTTGGCTGGACAGATATGCCATCTTTGAGGCAGATTTTGCTTTTGACAGCACACTCAAGTGTACCCACCCAGTTTACAGCCCACCATAAGCTATGCAATCCTTGAACCTGAGAATACAGGAATTAGTAGGTTCTAATTCTAAAAGTTTAGTGGAATTACAGATCCTAGATGTTTCAGTTATGCCTTCAGTGTTTTCTTTGGCTCCACCATGGACCAGAGTACGAAGAAATAAAGGCAGGCTGGTGGTTCCTAAATGTTCACTGGTAGAACTGAGCTGCAGCGTGTAGTTTCCTTCAAGGAACAGAAGAATGCAATGGGAGGCACTGAGATCATTTTCTGGCTTGCTATTTCTCTGGCTGTGGAGAAGAATTCTGCTTAAGAATTAAGGGAAAAAAAAAAAAGAAAAAGAAAGGTTGATAATATCAAAGCCTCTCTGATTTGAACCAAATTCGACTGTATGAATGGACTCCTAATGTGGTTAGCCAATATCTAAAAGAGAACGTTGAGAATGTTTCTGAATTTTTAAGTGTTTACATATCCAGAAGGAGTTCTTATGGCTCAGGAGCTGTAAAACTTTATAAACTTAATTAGCTGTGGTGATTTTAAAAAACTATGTTTTGGACAACTTTTCTAGCCTTTGAGGTGAGTTTAGCAGATAATATTCATCATTTCTATTAAACATAAAATCAGAAGCCTGACGAACTATGAACAAGCAAGGATTCAGATGTAACCCTGGAACTCCTTCTTGATTGCCCTTATTGGATGTTAAATTTCATAATTAGACTAAGAGATTATAGATCATTTGTTGTGGCAACTCTTTTATGAATTACGGACTATGAATATTATTGAAAATCGTGATTGTTTTGGGGTTAAATTCAGTAAGAAACCAATATGGATTCAGCACAGTACAGGTCAGTTAGTTAAACTTGTAAATGATATAAAGTCCTAGAATCCCCTATCCATATATCCATAAAGCTATCAATAATTTGAAGGTTTTAGAAGTACTTCATGCTTCTAAACATGCATAGATCTTCTAGATGCATGACAAAAAATACTGGAGATTAAAACCTGGTAATATAAATTAGTCTAAAATCTACTTTACTATATTATCATATAACTTTAGGTATTTTACAATAAATTTGTTTTCTTTATTTTCATAATATATATTTTATATATCTTTATACCTATATTTTCATTTTGCTTTTTTTCTGCCAAATGTAAATAAAAATGTTTGCAGACGTTTCCTCTAACAAAGAAGTAGTGAAAATGCAGTTGGTAGAAATACCTTGGCAAATTAAACAGAGATACTATCCAAATTTGTGTCTTTTTAGACTGGATTTACTACTGATGGCATAATCTTTGCACAAATCTCTGGATGAAACTGTCTGGCCCTTGTCTGGATTTAACTGGTTTCAACAAAAGATCAGAACACCTTTCTCACTGATAGAAGCACTGATGGTTGCTAATAGGAGCAGACATAACCTGCTCATGGCTGGATTTGAAGCAGCTTCACTTGAATTTTATAAATGAGGTTTACTGTGATCCTACCATGTGACTTTAGCCCTTAGAGAACCTGCCTCAAACATTATTCACTACTAACAGTGGCATTAGTATTTATTGTAGCAGTACCTGGTGACTCCCAACAAAGAACACTAAACAAAGACACAGAGTTACAGAAGAAGTGGTTTAGCCAAAGGGCATTTAAAACAGAGAACTCGGACAAATGAATAAAACAGGAAGCATTCTTGTTCCCTTTTATAGGGAAGGGGATGGCTGGAGATTAAAAAAATCGCCTACAATGACACAGAGAAGGAAAATGAAACAGGGAATCTGAATCTCAATCACAAGTACGCTTTCTAAAGCTGATTTCAACACTTTATTTCTACATCAAGATCCAACTAATGTCTTTTTTTTTTGTCTTAAATCTCTCATTTTTTTCTATTTGCATTTCTGGTAGTCCTCACAATAGCTCATCATATCTATATACACCTAACTCAGTATATTGCAAGGTATGTCTTGTAGAAAACACAGTCTGAAGCATTTCACATAAATCAATATTCATCTGTTGATATGAAGACACCAAAGGAAAAATATTTTCAACCCTTCTCCAGAAAGCAGTGAAAGGGGTCAAGGCTTGAAATCTGTGTTTAGGTTCTATTCTCACTTGTACTGTTACTCATCTTGTGGAACACCACTTCAAGTGGTTGATGTATATCTACATGAAATTGGAGTGGAGAAAAGAAAAACAAGGCCTTTTTTTTTCCTAAAATTTTTCTCATGGACTTTTATAGCTATATCATATATATATAATTATATATATATATACACTTATGACACTTATGAAGGGCAATTATGAGAATTATAGCACTGTTTAAAAGATATATACTTACAATTTTTAAAATAAATTTAACTTTGAGAAGGAAGAAAAAATAGAAACCAATCCATACAGAGGAATGTTTCAGTGTTTTCTTTCCCTTTATGTTTGCAGAGTCTTCCCAATATTCTAAAAATATTGACTATTTTTCATTTGTATCTTCTGCTTTTTCAAAACATAATAAGCCTGTGTAGAGGAAATTTCACCAGCTGTAAGAGATTACTAAGAGATTTATGATATTTAATAGCAAAATGACACAGCACTTTGGAAAGAGCTGATCAGTGACTCTGCTACTTGCTTTGAAAAAATTGGACCGTCTGTTACTTTTCATTTTCTCTAAAACATAACTACTTTCTTATAATGTAATGTACAAGGAAAGTGACCTGGAAATTGGTACTGCATCAGAAATAATGCAGGTGAAGTTACTGTATGTTAAGCCATCCAATAATTCAGTGCAGAATCTTGGTTCTCTTGGTTCCCACTGCAAGAGGCAGTGGGAATTGCTTTATTTATATTCTACAAGAATATTTTTCCCAAACCATAACGAAATTTGCATTTATTTTCTACAGTGGAGAAGGTACAAGCTTCTTCAACCAGTCATTCGGGACATCATTATATTCTTCATCTGATATTCAACAAAAAAGGGAAAGGTGGGAATTCACTCATGTTTCCGCACTTACCATCGGCATCATAAATATCTAGTACTAGAAGTCTGCTCCTTGGAAGCTGTCGTGCTGTTTGCCTCCCCAGAGAATCCCCTCATGTTCCCCATACTCTTCATGTTCTCAGGGCACCTTCTGGAATTGAATTTGGGTAGAATTATATGTTCTGCAAGATAATCACAAGGCAGTGTTTCAAGATGAAGTGACACGCATTGCCACAGATCTCTCTCAAAGTTTCCATTTTCACTCATTGTATTTGGACTTTGAGTTCATAGGTAATAGAGATCTGATAAGTGTAGCAGTAATGAGTTGGATTATGCCTGCAAAACTTTCAAATGTTCTTGGGGCCCCTAACAGTAAAATAAATTTAAAACAACTGGAGCCAGACCAAATCCCCAAAGCTGCAGCATTGCCAACTGTAGCTGAACAAAATGACCACAAGATATGGGATCAGTCTTTACAAGCTTTTTAAAAAAATACAGCCTATAACTCTTCACTTTCCTTTTTCAAACCTGCATGTCTCATTTTTAAAGCTTTTCAGATGAGGGCTACAAGTGAACTTTAATGAAGCTAAATGTTTAAGAAACAAGTATGAGAACACTTTTGATAAAAACACTTTTGATAAAAGCAACACTCTTAAGACTATTAAAAGTCTTAACTAAAATAAAGTCATGGTATAAAATGTGTTTACATAAAAAATAACATTCACTGTGAAGTAATTCTACAGTTACTTTCCATTAGTTTAAAGTTTTGAAAGTGCCAATTCAAGTAAAAACATATTTATTTATTTTATTTTACATAAAAGTATTTCCAAAGATAATTTAATGGTACTCCACTTCCAATAATTTACAGTAGAATTATCTATGTGTTTCCTTTAAAGGTCTTGGAACGCTATATTCAGCCAATCTGGAATGGAACATTGATCCGTTTTATGTGAAAGCTCTTCAGATAAGACAATACTAAAGAAATATGATTTACTTTCAAAACAGTTTGAGCTGGGGAAAATTAAAATATTAAACATCTATCATTTTCTAGGGAAAATACATGATCGGAATCTAGCTGGTAAGCTTTGTTTTACAAAAAAATATTAAATATACAGATATTTCTAATCACCTTATTGTCACAAGGAATAAATTCCGTAAAATCTGTGATCAAAGCAGTATGCAGGACTGTCTGCCTGTGTATTTAGCGTAATTGAGGCTTAAGAACGGTCTTTAAAGAAAGAAAGGTCACTTTTCATTTCGTAATATCATTAGATCACTGAGATCATATGTTAATGTCATTACATCCGTTCAAGCAAATAGAAAACTATTTGTTGTACTCTTTTTGGAATGCTAAATATTTTTTTGTAAGAATAGGTAACAGTAGCTTGGCTAGTGATTACTCAAATAGCTATCAACTCTGAATCACTCTAAAAAAGCTGTTCTTTTTAACACCTTATTTTTTCATTTACATTTCTGTGCTAGATGTTCTTTTTTTGTTGATGGATGACTATGATTATGACTACTATTATTCTTCTATTAAAAGTGCTTTCCATTTTTCATTGCAACAAACTTTTCATCCTCAACAAATTATCTCTATGATATGGTCTGTTCTTTTGAGCTTGGATCTTCAAATTATTGGGGGTTGTACCTGAAATTATACCTTCTGTTCCTGCCCAAACTGAATATTTAAAATACGTGTTCCCCATTACTTTTGTAGTAGAGTAACTTTATTGGTACCCAAAGGGTTATGTTAGGTTCCTATTTCGAGTTTAGAAATGACATTCATTGAAGAACTGACGTTGATTGCTTGGATAAGTATTGAACACGAATTACAAATATCCTGTTGGAACCATAGATTCTACTTGCTCAGGAGCTGAGCAGTACATTGAAATAGGTAGAAATGAAAGGACTGTAATTTCTATTCTTTTTAGAGTATAAAATAAAGAAAATACAGTTGGTATCCATACCACTATTTTTCTATGACTGCCTAGTCATGTAGGCACATAGTGCATTCGTCTATATCTTGCCCTAAAATCTGGTAGCTTTACTTCAGCCTCTTTCACTTCAATTTAGAGTGATTCTTCACTTTAAAATGTCTGCTTCATTGGAATTGAGTTTTAACACAATCAAAGGTACAGTGAACTGTTTCTTGCGACAGAATCCTTCAAAGCACACTTCCCTGAACAGCCTATTTCCTGAAAATGCAGTGTCCAAGATCCACATGGCTCTCACTTTCTGACTTCTGATCTTTTAAAGTGTTCATTGTATGTAAGGTATGTCCATTCTGTGAATCTTTTGTTTATTTTGCTGTCTTGTATAATCCTTTAGCTCTCTGTGTCCTCTAGTGTCTATCTATCAACATTGCACAAATAAAGAGATTAAATTAATACTTGCTTCTGTTGCTGATGTGAAAGCACACAGAAGTTTCTATAATTATTTAACTTGTTATCCTATAGATTTTATTCCATATTTGTTCTTGTTTTTTACTATTATATTAATAATGCTAGTTTTAGGATTTTTTTCTAAAGCACTGCCAGCAATTGCAGCTGCATCTTCACACAGACATACATCTACTATCTATTTTTCTGTGCTTGCTGGAAATTATACCAGCACATATGAACATATTACCGCAAATGTCAATGATAACACTTGGCAGGAACTTTTATTACCTAGTGAGGCATATTTTCCTCTCACTTCTGCATGCCAAGCTGTCACCAAGGTCCATAGCAGCAGCTTCTACTAATCCCAAACATATATAGGATATATGGCACAGACCATAGTGCCATATAGGATATAGGCACATATATAGGATATAGGCACAGACCATAATAACTTGTCACAGAATTTGGACTTTAACCTACTGAAGAAAGATAATATGCATTTTCTGTTTCTAAGGATCCATTTGAAGCTATGTTGTAGTATGGTTCTACAATTGCATGCTTAGTTTCCATGTTTGATACAGAATGCATGGAAAGAAATGAAAAATGGTTGTCATGTCCTACTCTGACCTATTCAATTCGACAAGTCTACTTGCTCCTGAAAAATGTAGCTTCCACTCCTTCTAGATTTTTGGGATATTTATAGACAATGTTTCTTGCATTGAAACTGAGTCATCAGTATATTTTAAAATTATAGATATGGACTGAAATTCAGATCGTTGATCTTAATATTCTATAGTAATGTTAGAATCTTAATTCTAATCTTCCAATTAAAAATCACTGAAAAGCTAGTACTTACTATTTAATATCCCCAGATTGTATACTTTAGTAACTAGATTAAAGCCTTGGCTGTGTGAGTGGAATGAGAGCCTTGGACGCTGTGTTCCTGAGATTTTTTTTTACAGCAGAACAAAAGAGACAACTTTGGAATTCAGATTCTGTTCCAAGCACAACCTTCACATATGAACTGATAGATTTTTTGTTTGTTTGAAGTATTCTAAATGAGAAATTCAACCTGTGACAGACTCTTGGCACAAACTTACTTTACGTATAGGCATCAGAAAATAGATTACTAAAATGGGAAGTTTTAGACAAACAATAATGGAGATTGTACTGCACCTGTAGTACAATGCCTTCAATCAGTTTGCCTTGAGATACTTCAGGTCACTTCACTACTCATAGTAAAACAAATGCTTTTGGGGTGTCTGATTTACTTCACCTAAACCAGTTAAGCCACTTGACTACATAAGTAAGAACTGTTCAGCAAGAATGAAAGCTGTCTAGGATGACACTTTTTGGAATAGAATTTATAAGAGCAATATAAGACTCAGGGATTTTTTTAGAGATTGTACAAAGAGAAGGAACAGGAAAAAAGATAAAGACTTGAAGTGTCAGCGAGATTGGTAAATGTATTTAATTCTCCATTGGACCTGGTAGAAAGGTTTCCTTCTCTCAGAGTATACAGTACTTGTTCTCTGAACAAGTTGCTCTGGAGACACTAGAAAAACAATATTCATTCTAACAGTAAGATTTATAAATGAGCTAGTTGATGGTAAAGTATTTAATATTTTAATGTACATTACTTTATAGCACATAAATGTTGATATTCTAGTGATTACAATAAGTATGATCCAATTCCAAAGTTCTAGTGGAAATACTTCTGCCAACTGTCCAACAACCAGCAGGTATCGATCAAATCACTCAGCACTGTGGGAATGCTCAGAAGACTTCAAGATTCTTTTTGGCCAACTATTATTATATATTATATATATAATATATATATAAAATATATATATTTATAATTTATATATATAAATATTATATATATAATATATATAAAATATATAATATATATATACTGTAATATATATAATATATAATATAATGTGTATATTATATATAATGCATAATGTATATATATTATATATATATTATATATATATTATTATATTCCAGATTATTGCCAATGGTTATTATATTGCTTATTTTAAGGATTTACAAATCATTATAGAGCTTAAAATACCTATAACTAAATCTTTTCTCTCCTTTTAAGTGATATTTTAATAACAGTCTGTGACAATAGCTACCAATGCCAAATTGACAAGCAAAGAGAATGCCATAAATCCTTCTATTATTTACTGTCCTGTCTTGTCAAAAGAGAACCCTTTACCTTTTTTTTCCTCATTAGACAGTCCTATTATTCCGGTACTGGAGGGTTTTTACAAAAGAATATTTATCTCATTTTCTAATATCAAAACGTAGTAGCTGATGATAATACAGTGCAAACTACTCCTCCTATACTAAGGGTAGTAAGGGTAGATTTATCCTGACATGAACTATTCCCTGACAACACATCTTTTATTTTAATGCCGTGCTCACTCCTCTTATCCAGTGAGGTACGTGAAGATAATCTGGGAAAGGATAACACAGACAAAGACATCAACGACATCTTATAAATAAATGACTAGTAATTACAGCTGCAGAGATACTGCATACTTCTCACATGCTGTTTCTTTTCTTTATCATCACTATATTGCCACAGAATTGATTTTTTGAGTGCCAGGATGCTTACTACCTTGCAAATCAGTAAACATCCCTGTGTTCCTGATTAAGAGATATCTCCTACTTCTGTTATCTTGAAGTATCTTTTATTTATAACTTTCTGTGTGATTGATATCTATGAAGTAAAGACCAAGTTTTCAGGAAGGCCAAAGGCAAAGCAATGAACATTATGTATATTTCAGTAGCTGAAAGGAAGTCTTGGTGAAAAATTTGTTCTGTTTATTTTTTTTCCCCAAAGTTCACAAAAGTTGCATTCTTTCAGATAAGTTCTTATTACTCACCACATGGTATGTCGAATTCCCTGAGTATCACAAAATCATTTCTTCAGACTAGATTTTGGGCATGAACATGGGATCTCAGTACTTTTTTTTTTTATTATTTTTATTCTTTTCCCACTGGGTGATGTTGTATCTTCCACAGCATTCCATCTACAATAGAAGTCCTGTAACTTGTAACACCAAAGCCTATAAAAACTGACACACAGAGGAATCCTCATTCCACCCAGTGTTAGCCATTTACTTTAGTTGATTAAATTGGTTAGACCATTCTAGCAAGAGGTTTCTGCAGCCAATGATTTACTGGTGTATGTGCAATTTGCAATGATATAGATTGGACAGCATGGGCTTAAGAAGGGTATGACCTTAAATATATTTAAAAAAAAAAATTCTTTCAGACCCTCTGAGACAGTTCGAAAGCACATGTAAGTATAAAAAATCATTGTAAACTCAGACTAAAGCAAAATGTTTTAACTATCAACTTTAGCCTTCACAAACACTGTCATTTATAAAGTTAACACTCACTGTGAAGTTCATTACAAAGCAGAAAAATGCTAGGTAATACAATAATTTTTAAAAATAAATAAAAACATAGCCAACCTGATTTAAGAACCTAAATAAGGATCAGATTTCGAAAAGCATTTAGTTATTCCTTTGTTGCTTCTAACATTATATTTGCAAAAGCTCAATTTTTAACAAGAGATTTTTGGAAAGACTTGCTATTCCAAGCTGTGTTTTAGCAGGAAGAGTTTGCTTGTGAAAAATGTGTTTTTTTCACATTTCTCATGAAATGTAGAAAGACCTTAAGGACAAAGCAAGTACTATGCCCATTCAAATGCATTGTAAAGCAGTCCTTCCCAAGAATCTATTTCAATACCAGTAATATAAAGCCAAGCCATCAAACAGCTTGGAGGATGGAATTCTTATTGTACCAGCAGTTCTTCATTCTGCAATTCCATTCATTCTTCAATTCCAGCAGTTCTTCATTCTGATTCGGAATGCAACTTTGGAAATGTTTCATTTTTCTAAGACAAAAAGTCTAACATATTTTGATCTATAGACTGCTAAACACTTTTTTAATATATTCTGAAAATCTAAATTTTGAAAAATTAGATAACCTAACATAGATCTGTCACTTTTCTGAAGGCAAAGCACTAAAACTCCATTTAATAAAATATTTAACCATTACCTTATATTTTACCCAAAGCATATGAAAAAAATAGTTCTTATCTAATACCAGTAATGATCTCAGGCCTTTTATTTTTCTCATGACAAATAGTCATGATAATATAGAGAACTGAAAGCAGGTAACACGAGACTTGAGGATGTCAGGCAGGCAAACTGCATGTCAAACTTTATGTCATTTTATCCAGCTTATATACCAAAAACAAAATACCCAAAGCACTCTGAGATCTGCTACAATTTTAAAAGTCTCCTCCCTGTATTCTGTGCCTGCCTAGGACAGGCAGTTTCACTGAATGCTGCTGCCACAGCAGTTCAATGAAGCTCTGGTAACACTAGCAAACCCTCTAGTCACACTATTGACATAATGGGGTCACCATTAATCACCAGAAAAATCATGAACACAATAAAAAAGACCTCATTTTCAAAGAACAAATTTTAAATATACATTACAAATGCATTCATAACCTTATGTTTTTATAATCTTATGTCTAGACATACATGTTTTGTAAGCAATGTGGAATAATAAACTGTCTGCAGTGTTTATCAAGAACTACATAACTCACCTTCCACAAAGAGCCATAGTAACAGAACCACAACTTGTCTATAGCAGTATATTAAACCATGTTAAACTGTAAAGCCGCAGTGTTTTTAACTACGAACGGATGATCCAGAATAAATTTGAAGAGTGGGTAGGGGGACACTGGTCAAAAAATTGCTAACAACTTTCAAAATAATTGATCCCATACAAATTCTACTGAGGATTTATGAAAAGTAAAACAAATTGCATGTTGCCATGCCAAAGACGTGATTCTGAAGGCCAATTAAATGCATGCACTAAAGTATTGATCTGCAAGCTCACTTGAAGCTAGAAGAGCAGTTTCTGCGGAAGGTTCACTGCAGTACCTATCTAATATTATTCTTGTTTTCAGCTGCAGAAAACTTCAGTGACCAGAACTGTATCTACTCCTACGCAGATGGAAAAAATTTTAAATCAAATGGCTCATCTCATCCATAGCACTGTAAAAGCAAGCAGTCTGTCCACTCACACCAAATATTAGCATCACATCCTAAAGTATTAGTTCTTTACTAATGGTTTTGTTTATCAAAGTAGGTTTTCACTAGTGGGCACATTTTCTGGTTAATCTCTTTTTTTTTTTCCCTTACATTGTGCTGCACTGCATTCAGAATGTTCCACATAGGTTCCTTCTCAGTCAGCGCTTTATTCCCATATTCAGAAATAACTTAATCAATTCTGTTGTTCCATTGATTATGGACCTGTCCATAAATATTTATAACATTTAATACACATATATTGATAAGAGCTAGATAGATAGTCAATAGCCCTTAATCTTTTATTGATATCCAGCTTTCTCCAAGGGGCACTTTCAAACAGCATCACTGTAATCTATTTGCTAAGTGTGATGTGGTTTCACTACAAAACCAGAATACATGAAGCTTCTTCAACTCATTCCAGTGTCTATAGTTATCCTAACACTAAAATTCAAAAGGTTGCACTGTGAATGATGACATGTTATCATCATTTATTATGCTCCAGCATCACTTAATTAAGGTTGAAATTATAGTTGATATAAAATACATTTAACTTCAATCTTTCAACTATTTTTCTTAGTACAAATAGTTGATTCCAGAATGTATAATTCATCAGAGTTTAAATCTTTTAATGTTAAAGCACTATATAAAACTGGGATAACTCCATTAATTAACATTTAATTCAGAACTTTCAATACAGATTTACTGAAATGGAGGAAAACTAACCTATCTGCCTAAACAAGAGTAGGGTTTAGAGAATCTTATGAATGTTATGAGACCAGTATCACAGTCTCAAACTACAAATTTAGGAAATATGGAAAAGGGAAGAAGCAGGACTACTATGGATTCAACACAGATACTCAAACCGTCCTGTGAAGAGTGCTTAAGCAATTGTAGCTGCTATTTACAGTAAAACTAGTGACTACATAAAGATTCAAAGCATACGGTAATAGCTATGTACAGTACAGCACTAATTATTTTTGTGTCCTGTTAAAAGATAAAACATTTAATTCTTATAATAGAATTCTCCCGGGATCTAAAACATAGACTGAAATGACAAAATCAATTCATTAATATGCCTTGCATGTCATGATACCAATGACTGCTACTATCAATTGCCTCTTGGACTATAGCTATTACACAGTTGGTATAAGCAGAAACAGGTTAGCAGTAGCTACTGACTTTGCCATGTCTGCTGATATCCAGGAAGGAGAAACTTGCTGGGTCAACTTGAGGGAAAAAAAATAAATAAAAAATAAACAATAAATAAAAAATAAATAAAAAATAAAAGAGAGAGAGATGTTCTACTCAGCTCTGGTGAGTCCGCACCTGGAGTACTGTGTGCAGTTCTGGGCACCCCAGTACAAGAGGGACGTGGAGCTTCTCAAGAGGGTCCAGAGAAGAGCAACTAAGATGATTAAGGGAATGGAATATCTCTCGTACGAGGAGAGGCTGAGTGAGCTGGGCCTGTTTTCTCTGGGGAAGAGAAGGCTGAGAGGGAATCTGATTAATGTGTATAAGTTCAGGAAAGGAGAATGCAGGGAGGAAGGGGACAGGCTGTTTTCATTGGTGGCCAGCGATAGAACGAGGGGCAATGGCCATAAGCTGGAGCACGGGAAGTTTCGTCTCCAGGTGAGGAGCAACTTCTTTACTGTTAGGGTGACAGAGCAGTGGAACAGGCTGCCCAGGGAGGTTGTGGAGTCTCCTTCTCTGGAGCTCTTCAAAACCCACCTGGATGCCACCCTGTGCCACATGCTCTAGGTGTGCCTGCTTGAGCAGGAAGGTTGGACTAGATGATCTCTAGAGGTCCCTTACAACCTTGAATATTCTGTGTGATTCTGTGATTCTGTTCCTGACACTGTTGACTCCAGGTGCCTGAACTAGAAAAGTGTGTTAAAAGTGTGTTTTCTGGCATATGAACAAGAGAAAAAAAAAGAAAATATATATATAAATGTATTTGCATTCCTCAAACTAAGTTTACCATGTTCTCTACCATTCCCTAAGAAGTATGTTCTAACTTGGCAGAGGTTCAAACAAAAGGTGATACAGCATACAATGAAGGCTGACTACTGGATTTTTTTTTTTAATATATTGCAATACAGCATTTTGAAATTAACAAATCCATTAAACAAATCACATACCTCTTCTTTCTTCACAAATGTCAGCACTGATGCTGCCAAGTGGATGCCAAACACCAGGAGCTGAAAACTCATAAACTGAAAAAATGTATACAAGTAATGTATAAACATAATATTAAACAACAGAACAACAACAAAAAAAAAAAAAAAAAAAANAAACTCTAGAAATATTATCCTTCCTTTGTGACTGTTATGCAGCAAAAGAAAGAAATATTTTCTCCTAGAAGCCCTGAGAAAGTATCAAATTAAAATTTCAGGATTTAAGGAGAGAACCAATAAGAAAAGAACAAAAAGTTAAGCATCACTGAAAAAAAAACATTCTCTGATATATCAAGAGGAACTTAAAATGCTCATGCATTCATGTATAAAAGAAACCCAAAAGTTCATAGACTATGCTCATTTTCACTAAGACCAGATTTTCTCCCATTTCAGACAACTCCATAGAAGCAGGAAACAAGAAACTTCTTTTTCACCATCTAATAAAAAAAGGAGGTAAACATTAAGGAATAGGAGTCCTGATAATAACACCCAGACTCCTCTCACTGCTGTACCTATTTGTATTTGTAGTGTAACAAATGACTTGGTAGAACAGCTCTCTGTTCCTGCATCCTTATAGTCTAAAAGAGATATAGTACTAAAAAAAAGGGACAATAAAAGACAAGGAATTAAAAATGTAATCAAAGTGATCATATGAATATATGGTTACAGATACAGTATATAACATAGCAATTATATATTTGCATACATAATTAGTGCATAATTTTAAAGAAAGAAAAGCATTCTTCTCTTAAAAAGCAAGTATCATATGTAAACATGAAGTACAGTGGCAATATCTCTCCCTATTTGGCTAAAATTCTGCTATGTAATCTCCTCTCTTTCTATATTAGTGCCATATTGCTGCAGCTTGTGCTTTCAAATAGATATTTTAGGCCAGATTTTCCTTTACTTCTTCAGCATATACTAACTCCTCATACTTTCAGTTCAAACATGAACTTTTGCAACTCTAAACATACTGGTTAAAACTTTTGTTTCACCAAACTGTAATAGTTTTGGAATAGTCATTGGAAACAATCATGCCATGACATGGAAGGCTCTTCAATTTTTTCAAATCTCACTGCAGGCAAGATCTTATTAAAATATCTTTCTATCAGTAGATTTCTTAAGCACTGTGTGTGAAAATCACAAGGTCTCATATACACAAAATTCCCTGTCATTCTTTTAGAAATTTGGAATTTGATTTGCACTTACTGTAACAAGCAGACATTTGATTTCCTTAACACTTCCAAGGAATCCCATGGCTGATGTAAAGGTTATAAGAGATCCAGTTCCAAGGAACATAAAAGAAATATATGCTACTAGCTGATTGTCACTTGAAGAAACTGCAATACAATGTATTCATACTGACACTTTTTATTTGAGACTTCCACAGAAGTTACACCATAAAAACAATTAAATTTTTATTTTGCTATTACTCAATATATGAAAATAATAAATTGACAAGAAGACATTCTTATTATTTAAGCTATCAACAGTCAGAGAAAGAAAAAGATATGTTTTCATAAATTCAGTTGCGTTTAACAACATATCAGATGTGAGCAAAAAAAAATTTAACTGAACAGTCTGAATGACTCAAAGAGAACAACTAAAATTTCATAGATATTCTTTGTTCAACAAAAATTACTAGCATGTGTACACCTCCTTCATGGACACAGATAGAGTTTTCATTAAATCCAGGCTTGGATTCAACCCAATTCTCCTTCCTTATGACTGGTCATTTTCCCCTTTCCACTTTAAGCACTGCTGCAGAGATATGGAAAGTACTTGGGCTCTTTACCACTTCTGTCTCAAGTGTTTTGTCCCAGAATTACATGCTGACTGGGAGAACCGATGCTCCTTGGCACTGTTGCAGGCAATTCTTTAAGAGTGTATGTCTGTTATTAATAATGACCCATAACTTATTTGTCCATAAAAGAATTTCTTAAACACACAGGGAAAAGTGTGTCTAAATGAAGAGGCTGAAGCCCTGGGTGTTGTCCATTCCACTCAAATACTTGCTTTAATGAAATATAATCATGCTATAGTTCAAACACATTCTGATAAATTATGTAAAGAAAAAATAGACTTGTTTTACTTTCCAGTGATTCATCAGTAAGCCACATAAAGTGAATCATAAATATATAAATTGTAGATATGATATATTTTTCCCTTTTCTGATAATCATACTGTATAATAACGGAAAACACATTCAATAAGAAAAAATCTATGCATTTCAATCCAATACTGCCACCTGGTGAAACAAAATTCTTTAGCTATTTCAGTTTTATTGGTATATGATGCAGTCATACAACTATATTTGTATATATATATGTTTATACTCACATAGCATACTGAATAAATTGTTTCTGTCAAATAAAAGCCAAAAGCCAAATTGCAATAGCACAAGACCCAGAACCTGGAAATAACAAGGATTATTTTTTAAATTTAAATAGTCGAAAAATATTTCATATTAAGCTGCCAAACAAACAAATAAAAAATTTGGATTTTTACCAAGAAAATTCCATTGAAGATGTTTAGAAAGTATTTCTGTATCAATATTTATCTCTTATTTTCATTCTTCTGCTTTTCTCTCTCAAATCACAACTGAAAACAGAATCATATATTGATTAACATGAACCAATTACTGCAGGGCTTATTTATTTCAGATAAGAGGTACATTTTTACATATTTAAGCATCACCTGACAAATGGAGGAAAAAATTGTGGCATCAACAGAAACATCAATATGCACTGCTAATTTGGCCTTTAAAATGTATTCACTCTGTTTCAATTCCCAATTTATTTTTTTTGCTAGACTAAGTTAACATGGACTATTTAATTCACTAATTAAAAAAATAGTAAACAGAAAGACCAAATCACATAGCTATTCACTATTCCCCTCATTTTACATGCAAAAATTGCATTAGATCTTTTTTTTTCCCCCCTGCTGTTTGCAATGAAGTATGTTGTTGAGCAGCTGATCTGCTGCAGACTCTCTAATTCTTTTCAGATTAATTACTGAACAGAGTTTTCCAAATCCATTGAATTTGGTAGGTGAAATTCCCAATCTCAAATTAAAACAGCCTGTACTTCCAGCCATTGAGGGGAACCCGATATGCCAAAATGGAACAGATAACTGACTGGTTTTCATTTTTATGCCTCTTCATGTAAAAAAATAATATGTGGGAGAAGGGGAGAGAGGAAGAGAAGGTATTTCAATCTACCTCTAGGATAATTTTTGTCTTTTATCTTTTGTCTCCTTTTATCCTATTTTGCCAGGCAGATAAACTAGGGGATTACTGAGATAAGAGCTAGCGAGGACACAGAGGTACATCAGCCTTGTGTCAGTTCAACCTTACCTCAAAATAAGGAATCCAGTCTGACGCACAGATAACTAGCCCCAAAATATTTCTGTTTTAAATATCTTTCTGTTTCCAGCTACACTTTCGATTTACTTTTCAAATTATTTAAGCAGTTACTTTTACACCCCCTCGTTTGAAAAACCTTGAATTTTGGCAACTGCAGAAGAATTACAGCCTTCATGTATTTTCAAACCTGTGCTTCCTGGACACCTCTATAAATAAAATAAAATAAAATAAAATAAAATAAAATAAAATAAAATAAAATAAAATAAAATAAAATAAAATGCAACCCCGCCCCCGCGGAGCGCAAACCGGCAGCTCCTCACTAGTTTGGCTCCCGCCGCTCGCCTTCGGCGCCGCTTGTTTCCCGTTGCCGTAGTTACCGTCCCGTGCAGCCAGGCCGTGGGGAAGCGCTCGCTGCCCCCGCGAAGCGCCTGGCGCGGGGAGCGCCGCGGGATTTCGAGGCGGAGAGGCACGTGGGCTCTCCGGAGGCGGCAGCGGCGGGAGCAGCGCAGCTGAACGGGAAGTGAGTAGCCCCCCTAGGGCAGATTGGGGAGCTCCGTGAGGGGCGAGTACTCTGGGGAGGCAGACGGACTACAGCTCCCAGGATGCCGAGGGGTAGCGCCGTGCGAGGAGGCCCGTCTGTGTCCCGCGGTGCATGCTGGGATATGTAGTCCCACTGCACCGAGGTGGTGCTCGGTGTTTAGCGGGAGCTGCCTGGTGTCTGAGTCCTTCTGATGCAACTGCTTCGGGAAATTTAGTGTTGAAAGTTATATGTGTGTATGTGTGTATATGTAGATATATACATTTATATGTATATATACACACAGGGTATATTCTCTGTGTATGTTTATTTGTGTGTCTTTGTGTGCATATATATATCTTATTTCTTTTTCAGTTCTCAGCAGGTATTAAACTCCCATGTCAGGCATGCAGTGTAGCACTTGTTACCATGCACAAGGAAGAGGGAGCAGGTGGAGGTTTTTCACAGTTTGGTTATACCCAGTACATAAAACTCATAGAACTGACGGTATCATAGGGGTTTTCTTACCACAAACTACCCTTTGTCTTACCTTTCTTTCTTTATTTATTTTTTTCCTTCTTGTACATTTCTGTTACAAAATGAAGTGTTGTTCAGAACAAACCTCTGTTCTTTTTCTTGTTTTAGGTCTACGGTTGAATAAATGTAGGTTGGAGTACTCTTAACACTGAGGGCGCTCTTTGACTTATGCAGTGCTAAAAGTTAGTGTTTTCTTTGTGTATCACTGAAAGCAATGGAAAATGGAGAACAGACTGTCAGAAGATGTTGAAAGAATTGAAAAAGAAATAGAAATCGAATTGAGCAGTATCAGTGTTTCTGCCTTTGAAGCAGATGATCCTGGCACAGATGTGTCAGAAGAAGCTTTGAGCGACAGTGACACAGTAAGTGTTTGGTGGGCTAAAACTTCCATTACCTGCTGTTGAAAGCGGTATAGGCGTTGGAAAGCCTGTCTGATGAACCTCCTTTATCCTGATGTATCTAACCAGAGGATTCATTCTGAGAAATAATATAATTAGTGCTGTATAACCTCTGGTGGTGGCAATACAATAAAATAGATGAGCATCAGCATTCTGCTCAAGTGAGAAGATCAGACTGTGCTCCACCATTATTTATTTTACTTTTACTTAAAAGGTTTTATAGAATCCTTTGAAACTGGAAGATTTTTCAAGTTAATCAGCTAGATTAAAATTTAGATGAAAAAAACAATGCATCTTTGGTTTAAATATTGCAGAAGATTCTCTGAAGTCTGTTCAATTTGGGGTGAGTCTTTTTGTGTTACTGCAATTTTTCAGACTCGTGTCTTATAGACTGCTTTGTAGGGTGTCTGAACAGTTGATTTACCAAATCCCTGATTTTGGTAAAAGATGGTTTTCTGAGTAGAAAGTATCTGTGTGGTAGAATAAGTTGATAGATCAGTTTTTTAAATTTTTGTAATAATGAATTTAAAAATATTTTTTCTAAAAGAGCTGTAGCACTCTGTGACTCTGTGCAACATATGTGTAGATTTTTATTGGTTAATTTTTATCTTAGCCCTCTCCATAATTTCTCATTCCAAGGAAATTATGAAGGAAAAACATTAAATTAAACATGTTTCTGAAGACAGTATATATTAAAATGTATTCTTTTTAGTTAGAATGTTACTAAGACTTATTAATTGCTTAGTAGATGGTGAAACAATAATAAAAGTAAAATGAGAAGCATGTGAGATTTGGAAAAATTCTTAGTAGCAATAGCTACTAAAATCTGCATTCTTAAGTGGAAAATCAAATGGGCATTTACTTTTGCATGTTAAGATTTTACCTCTAGTTGGGGCTTCAGATTAAAATGTAGAATTTATGTTAAATGATGTATTTCTAGATTTCAGATGACTTGCCAGAATCAATTTTGCCCTACTTAAACTTTATAAAGAACAGAAATCAAGACGCTGAAAAGCTTATACTGCAAGATTTAGAAGATGAAGAAATTACAAGTAAGTGGGGATCACAGTTAAAATATGTGTGCATCTCATATTACCACTACAACTAGCAACATTCAGGCAAAAACAGTGTAAACTTCTAAGCACAGCAAACCAGCTGTTGCATCACTTTAAACTCATTTCCCAGAACAGTTACATCTCCTTTTTTTTGTTGTTGTTGGTTTTTTTGTCTTTTTTGTCCTTTTTTTATTTTTTCCTTTTTTCTTTTTTTTTTTCTTTTTCCTTTTCCTTTTCTTTTTTTCAGCGTTGCATAATTAAGTGTAACTACATATCTTCTGGAGAGAGATGATCTTTTATAAACATTCTATACAGAATTGCTTATCCTGTAAAATATTTACTTTATGAATGATTTCCTAAGTTAATGATTTTAAACTTGTGGATAATGATTTACAACCAGTTCAAAGGAGTTGACTTTTATTGTTTCAAAATCCCATTTTTGCTTAGGAGGAATCCATAATATCGTTATTGTTACTACAGAGCCTTGTTATCTTGAATTACCAGTATAGCACTCTTAAAGAGAAATAGTTACTAGTGTAGAGTAGAATTCTGGTACTGAAGAGAGATATTTCTGTGGCCTAAACTGTTTGTTTTCTTTCTTCTTCAGGTAATGTTTATGAAATAGTTTCTAGCCATGCTTCAGATTACTTGGCAGAACTAGCTTTGGAATATAATGAAGATCCTGAAGAATTTAAAAAAAGGGTATTCAGTATTTAAACAGTACATACAGTGAACCACATTCTTTAAAGTAATCTATATTACACTTACTTGGCATCTTTGAGTGCCGTATAGATGTGTTTTGTCCATTTCATATTATTCACAGAGTATTAAGATGAGTTTGCATACACCTTACATGTAGAAATGCAACATCATTTGTAATACACTGTGCCTGTAAGTTTTAATATTTGGAATAAATGTCCCTATCATTAGTTTGAAGCTTGAGCACAAAAATCAACAAAATTATCAAAATTAAGCAACCCGTTATTGTTTTTTATTGATAGAATATTACCTCAATAGTTTTATAATCCTTTTAAGTTTCTTTAATCTTACTCATTTTGTTAAGATGCATAGCATGTTAATCAGATTCCTACAATATTCCATTATTTTATAGAAAGTATTAATTTCAAAATGTCTGTAATTCTCAAAGAATCAAACATTGTGGACCTTGCTTCCATATCTTAAGTGATTTTGAGTGAATACCTTCCTAAAGTTCTTAGAAAAACACAGACCTGTGTTGAATTTAATTAATTTTAATTTGTGATCTTGTTTTTTACTAGTTACCATTTTTGCGAACACAGGCTTTTATTCTCAAGAGACCACTGTTTAGGACAGTACAATAATTTTCTCTGATTTCATTCATAGAACAAATAAGTTAATCTGCAGTATGTGATAACCAGATAATGAATGAGCAGAAGATAGAGATTAATTCTTTCTCATAAAAACTATGGAAGGAATACAGCAAACTCTAATTTTCCTAATGTTATTTTCAAATCAGTTTCTTAAAAACTCTGTAACTACTTCTTTTTGTAGGTTCTTAATGGTATTAATGCATATATGTAGCCTTTGCTTTAAGGCAAAGGAAAACAAGCTCCAAACAACAAGTATTTTTTTTCCAAGTCATAATACTACAAAATACTTAAAAACAGCCCTTCCAAAATCACCAAAAAAAAAATCCCCTCAAACTTCACTACCTTCACTACCTTGAAATAATTCATCATTTCTAACCCTTTCTTTTCCTTTTCCTTCTCTTAGACAGGAATTCCTTTCTTACCTTTTCTCATCTATTAGAAAAACTATTTCTGATTATTTCTAATAGGTAGCAATATTTTGACTGACATATTTGCATTATATAATGTCTAAGTGTATAAACTAGCACTCAGGTCATTATTATGCTTGTCATGTGATGAAATGATTTTCTTTGTCCTGGAGAGTTCTTATAACATTCTGCTTTATATTTTAATTTTTTCAACACTTCATGTTTCTTAATGACAATATTAAAATATATTAGGTATTGTCTGAAATAGAAAGTGAAGACTTGCAGATTGGTACCAATTGTAGTACTCAGTCCACAACAGATGATCCTATTGAAGTGGTCACCGACGGACATTTTGTTGCAGGTGAGTGAATTCGTTATTTATTTGGCTGTGTTGATGTTTAGCATCATGTTAACAAATCTTTCTATAAGTATTTTTTCTTTTCTCTTTTTATTAGTAACCTTATTCTCTTTGTAAAGAATTAGAAAATGATAGTATCCAATAGATCCAGATTCTTCATCAGTTGGACATAGGTGAGCAGATGCTTATGCTTCTATGTAAATTCAGGATTAGGAAATCATCCTCTTATTTATCCTCAAGGTTTTTATCTAAATTTGTTCTAAATGTAAAAAAAAAAAATTTCTAAACATGATTTCAGTAGTTATAAATACGAATGGAAGCCAAACTGTAGACATCAAGAATGTGCTTTGCTACAGCTACCACTGTTTTTTTTAATAGTCATATTGGGTGGGATTGTTCTCTTTCGCTATGGCCTTTGCATGTTTTGGATTGGTGTAGATAAAACCCCTCCTGATACTGATGAAGACCTTTCCCCTGAAGCAAAAGTGCAATCTCAAAATATGCATTGGTAGAACGAACAAAACTGTCAGGAAGCATGGATTGCAATAGTAAGTGGACTTTATGGTTAAAAAGGCAGGGCTGTCTGTGATATAAAAGACTTGTTACAGTCCCGTGTGCCTGGAGGGTGTGTGTTGCTTGCCATACCAACATTGAATCCTTTTCATTGTGTTTCTTCATGCATAGTTTAAGATGCCTTCTGCCTTCTCTTAGTATCAATTTTTAAGTAAAAGGTTTCCTTGTTTGGTTTAAATTTCTTAGCTGATGATGGCATGAACATAAAGTTTACCTACCATGAAGTAGAAGAAAAATGTAGGCAAGATTTTGAGCAGTGGGATAAAAGACAAAAAGAACTTGAAGTTGAGAAAAGGAAAAAGTGGAAGGCTGAGAGGGAAGCACAAGAAAAAGAGAATGATGAGGAACAAGAAAGAAGGCTGCAGCGTCTGGAGGAATTTGAGGCTGAAAGAATAAAGTTAGAGCTTCTTCATAAGGTAATTAATGATATTTACTTCAAATAGTCTAAATGGGTGCATTTTAGTTTCAAGCTCTAATATGCAAAAGAGAACTTCCCAGATTTTATGGCTGTCCTAAACCATCACTCATGATACCAAATTGAGCTATGTCATACTTAAATATGACTTGTTATTTTGAAGTTGGTTCTTTTTTTTTTTTGCTATGATCAACAGTGAATTGATATAGTATGCTAAATGTTAAATTGCTCTTTAGGCTTTGTCCTTATTATATTGATATATTTTTGTGATTATATCATTTTTTATTTTATGATTTAACCCCAACCAAATCCCTGAGATAAGAGTTAGTGTCCTAAGATACTCACAGAAGTGAGTCATGGTCTCTGTGTTCTTACTAAATACTGCTCCTTGTTGTGGAACAAGTATTGGCAACCTTCTGATGTACCTAATGATTATGATGTTTGGCCAAGAAATAAGAAAACAAGACCCTAGGTCCTCCTCAACCTGATATATATGTATATCGTAAAATAGTGAGAAAATAGGTTGAACTTTCGATTTGGAAATAGTTTTGGTGAAAATTCTTCCTTTAGCTTTACCCAGCAAAAATCCTCTCTGAAGGACTAAGATCATCAGCATTATCATCAGCATTACTATACCACTGCATTTAAAAGAGGCCTGTTAAACTGCTCTCAGATTTTTTCTTTCAAGTTTAAGAGATTACTCTGTTTTATTGCCATAAACCCAGTATATGTTGAATGTCTTTAAAAGCGTAGGCTTCATTTCAGTGACAGTATAGAATTAGGAGAAGGTAGGATTGATTGGACCATATGCCAAGGTCTCCAAGGATACACTTCTGAAATCTGGATCTGAAAGTCCAATCATTTATTATGTTCCCTGCAACTGAGTTTCTCATTTTGATTAAGGCATCCACAGTAGTAGCTCCCTGAAAAGTCAAAATGATAGGGACTTCAGAGAGAGGGTTTTTTTGACATTCAGAGTTGTGTGCAATATTCATTTAAGTTAATTTGTTGTGCAGAAACAACAAAGTATGATGGAAGATGAGTTAGAGAAAGAAAAGAAAGCTTGGAGAGAAAAAATGATGCAACATGAGGTAAGGTTGTACAAAGGATATGTGTGAAAAGAATGAGTATATGAATATTATATGTTTAAGATTAAATGTTATTTGGTATTTGGAAATACACCAGATTCTGCTTCTTAAGAATTAGTATATACCAACACTATTTAAGCTCACAATGACTGAGCTCTAACCCAATTGTTGTTTTGATTTAGGAATTGATGATGAAACTACAGTTGCAGGTGGAAGAGGAGGAAAAAGCTTTTGAAGAGCAGAAAGCAAAACAAAGGCAACACATAACAGAGCAAGAGAATGCAGCAGCTGTGAAAATCCAAGCTAGATTTAGATCATTTTTAGTCCACAAAAAATATGCTCCCATCTTAAAAGAGTGCAAAGATAAAATTAAACACGAAAAGGAAATACAAAAAGAAATACAGAGGAAAATGAAAGAAAAGGAGGAAAGAATGAAGAGCCATATGGAAGAAATGAAGAAAAAAAAAGAAGAGGAAAAGAGACAAGAAGAGAGAGAAAGACAGATGCATTTGGAACAGGTGAGGAGGTGTGAAGAATATGAGAAAAAGAAAGTAAGCTTGAGGCTTGAAAGAGAAAAACAGTTGCAGATAAGAAAAGAAGAGAGAAAAATAAAAGAAGGAGGAGCAATAATGAATGAAAATAGAGGAAAGGATGAAGAAAACATAACAGAGGAAAAACTGAGAGAAAATTTAAAAGCAGTAAGAGGGCAGAAAATGGAACTGAGTAAGCAAGTAGTGGAAGAAGAAAAAGATCAAACTGTAAAGATGGATGAAACAAGTAACTGGATAAATCCAGTAAAAAGAAAGTTGGCACCACCAGTACCAAATATGTTAAATTCTGAGAGGAAAGAATCATCTTCTGAAGTAAATAACAAAAATCCAGATAGAAATTCAGRAACGTGTGCAGAAAGAAGTTCCTCTGATGCTGGAAATCTTAATTCAGTTCCACTTACAGGTACTTCAAAGAAGGAATCTGTTGATTTTAGAGCTAGTGATATGGCAGAAAATAAGACAAATAAGACAAACATAAAAGCAGAAAGAGAAGAGAAAATGGAGCCAAGTAAGCAAGTAGTGGAAGAAGAAAAAGATCAMACTGTAAAGRMRGATGAAACAAGTAACTGGATAAATCCAGTARAAAGAAAGTTGKCACCACCAGTACCAAATATGTTAAATTCTGAGAGGAAAGAATCATCTTCTGAAGTAAATAACAAAAATCCAGATAGAAATTCAGRAACGTGTGCAGAAAGAAGTTCCTCTGATGCTGGAAATCTTAATTCAGTTCCACTTACAGGTACTTCAAAGAAGGAATCTGTTGATTTTAGAGCTAGTGATATGGCAGAAAATAAGACAAATAAGACAAACATAAAAGCAGAAAGAGAAGAGAAAATGGAGCCAAGTAAGCAAGTAGTGGAAGAAGAAAAAGATCAAACTGTAAAGGCAGATGAAACAAGTAACTGGATAAATCCAGTAGAAAGAAAGTTGTCACCACCAATACCAAATATGTTAAATTCTGAGAGGAAGGAGATCTCTTGTGAAATAAATAACAAAAATCCATATAGAAATTCAGGAACGTGTGCAGAAAGAAGTTCCTCAGACGCTCAAAATCTTAATATAGCTCCAGTTGCAGATACTTCTAAGAAGGAATCTGTTGATTTTAGAGCTGGAGTTAAGGTAGAAAATAAGGAGGAGAATACAAACAGTAGATCACTGAATGCTCAGCCAAATGCCGATAATAGAGAAATCAAGGATCGTATTTTTCAATCTGAAATAGTGAAGACAGCTGTGTTTCTAATGAAAGATTCTAATGAGAAACTTACTGAGCATTGGGACAGAATTCAGGATGTAGCTAAGAATTCCAGTAGCGTAGAAATTCTTCCTGATGATATTGAAAAGAAGAGATTAAATTGGATGAAGACATGTAAGCCATGGTGTAAAATATTTGGAGAAAATCAAAGAAAGACAATTACTAAAAAAAGACATCCAAGGAAAATTTCAGTTAACAAGATGCCTCCATTAAGTACAGAAAAGATCATTCATAGTGGCCCTTGGAGCACTCTGCAGCAGGTAACTATGCACAAGATACAGAATTAAATAGGAAGTTATTCTATATTCTGTATTCTATAGAATTCTATACTTTTATAATATCAGCAGAATACCATTGTGAAAAATGGAAGAGGAAGGAATTATGTAGGGCAGAGTATAGCAACAACTCTCTGAGATCCTCTGCATAGATGTAGGATACAGGTTACCCAAATTCCTGGGAGCATTATGGGACAGGGTGCCATGCTCGCAGTCTTCAGGTGATTGACAATATCAATGATTCTGTAAAAGACTGGAGCTTCCAGCCTCTACTTTCTGCTAAATTAGCCTTTGTATGTGGAGCTGCATTTCAGCTTCTGCTTATCTAACTCTCCTGAGGTTTTGAGAATACTGGTCTTTCCCAGAAGACAGACTTTACTGACATATATATATGACTTAATGAGTATCACTGTATGCTCACTCTGCTCTTGCTCGCCACGCTGGGGTTACATGCTGTGCTGAATAGAGCTTCAGTCAAACCTATTTTGGTCTAGTCCAGTACATTCAGTCATTATTTGTGGGACAGTAATGGGATAAAATCCACAGTACTAATAGATTTATTTTAGTGACAATCTTCCATTTGTTCAAATACAGCATCATTAGTAGTGTATCTCTTATATTCTTTTTAAGAAGGATGTCAAAATCAAACTTTTTTTTAATTTTATCATCTCCTTATTAATAGATCAAAACTATTTTTGACATTCTTTTTTTTAATGAAATTGTCATATTAGTTGTTTACATTTTATAAAAGTAGTAAAATATAAATTATATAAAATAAAATGTAGTTTTAGTCGGATAAAAATAACTTAAGAAAATAAAATGTGCCATGAATGATAAAAATAGCAACAATTAATCTTATTTATTATTAAATGCATGTAGGTCACAATACTGACACTGGAAGATTTACCAGAATGTAGCCTCTCCACATTATCTGACTGTGCAAATCTTCAAGTACTGACTATCAGACGCTGTGGATTAGTTGCACTGGAAGGACTAAGTAACTGCAAAGACATAAAGTATATCAATGTGGAGGTACCAAGCACTTTTGATTCTATAGTATAACTCAGAAAAAAAAAAAATCTGCTTTTGCTGTTCAGGCAGCTGTGCAGTTGGGTGCAACAGGATGCATAAATTTTAGTGTTTTAAGAACATATAAATATGAACAAAATACTCCCTGTCAACAAAACTGTACCAGCAGATATTTTATTGTATGTGGTGGTAATAGAATAACATTGGACAAACAAATCAAGCTAAACTAAAGAAGGTCCACGATATTTTAAGTAAAGGATCAAATCCCATTTACTCTAGTAACCAGTGTAGCTGAATAACATTGGTTAAATTGGTGTAATTTAGAGCTGGTCTAAATTAACATACCTATAGATCAAGATTTCTACAAATGAGTGATTAAATTAAAATTTATTTATATTTAATATATTTATATATTTAATATATTCATATATTTTAGTAAGCTCAAAGTTGATTTTTTTTTTTAATTTGAGTGCTCTTTCTCTATGTATTTCAGCTAAATTCTGAATTAGAGGTAGAAATAGCAGGATGCACCTTGCACTTTGTTTTGCGAGTAGTTCAGTGTAGAAATTTTCGGACTGATTCCATTTTTAGTCAGAGAGAAAAAAAAAGAAACAGACATTTTAGTTTTGGAATCATCTCCTACTAACCTGGGTGTTGCATGGTGATGAGATGGCTAGTTTTCAGGTAGTAGATTGTGGAGGAAATCTAGATGCTTCAGCTGTAACTGTTTGCTTTATTAGCCATGTATAGTTACATGGGTCCTGAGGTGACTATTGTTACTAAGGCTGCTTGACTTTAAATATACTTTATTAATACATCAATAACAATATACATTACAAATAGTATTTTATACTTTGGTCATTCCAGCGCATGAATCAGTTATCCTCCATTCCAGTTAAATTGAAGGTACAATCTTTTTTTTTTTTTTTTTTTTCTTTTTTCTTTTTTCTTTTTTGTTTTTCCAACAGCTGAAACAATCCAAATTATTCCATGGGTTTTTCTTACATAAGCTGCTCCTTTGCTTTCCTTGGACACTCATTCTTTCTTGATATTGCCCCTCTTAATTAATTTTAAGCTATATCAATTCTCTGTTCAGACTTACTGGTACAACTGAAGGGGCTGTCCAAAAGCAGAAATCAGTGTTATTTATGGCTTCTTGAGAAAGTTCTGTGTATCAAGGCCTGCAGTTGGAGCTAGCAGCTAAGCCTTGTCACTTTGCGAATTCTGGAATAGGAATAATCTCTGGGATTTAACTGATTCATGAAGGGAGAATGTAGGGAAGAAGGGGCCAATCTCTTCTCATTGGTGGCCAGTGACAGGACAAGGGGAAAAGGGTATAAGTTGAAACACAGGCAGTTCCATCACCAGGTGAGGAGGAACTTCTGTCCTGTGAGGGTGAGAGAGCCCTGGAGGCTGCCCTGGAGGCAGGGCACAGGGAGGCTGTGGAGTCCCCTTCTCTGGAGGTCTTCAAAACCTGCCTGGATGCCACCCTGTGCTCTGGGGTGACCCTGCTTGAGCAGGGGGGTTGGACTAGACAATCTCTAGAGGTCCCTTCCAACCTCAACCATTCTGTGATTTTGTGATTTCTTAGAAAGACAGGGAATTTAAGGGTTTTTTTTTTTTTTTTTTTTTTTGAGCATCTGCAGGTGAACAACAGAAGTAAATAAAAGCAGGAAATAGTAAAAGAGAAATCAGAGGCATCAAAATGACTTGAGGTGAATGTTAAAAAAAAAAAAAAAAAAAAAAACTTTGGGGGAAGACCATTAGCTAAATATTAATACTTGTGAGAAAAGAATACCTCTAAAGGTAGTTATTTTCATTTTTTTTACTAAATAGGATTCTACTAAAGTCAAGCGTGCTTGTCATTTGTATGTAGTGGATATTGTGGCTACAAAGCCACAAGGTAAGGTAGGAAAGTATATTCAGGAAGGAACATGCTATTTTTGATTTCTTATAATATTTCTTTAAAATTTTAGGTATTGTTAGAAGCAGAATGCAGTGTAAGATGTCTCTTGATTTTTGTCCTAGTAGGACACAAAAGCAGTTGTCAATATATCAATCTATTTTCCCAGTAGAAAAAAACCTTTGGTGCCCTCACTACTACCTGGAAGTTTAGTTTTAGTAATAATATCTGCCATTTTCTTGAACTTACCCTGCTGTTTCAGTTAAAATGCTTAATATTCTTGTTCTTTTTTTCAGGAAAACAATATTCAGATCATAGACTGTGAGAATCTAGAAAATCTCTGTGTTCTAATTCTGAGTAAGAACCGTCTTTCATCAGTTTGTGGCTTAGATGGCTGCAGAAATCTTCGTAATCTTGAACTTTCCTACAATAAAATCACCCGAATTGGTATGAAAATTATTCAGAAAATACCCCAAATTGTGTAAAAGCATATTTCTGCTGTTTACATTTAGGATTTGTGCTATTTACATTTTCATAGAGTCACAGAATGGTTGAAGTTGGAAGAGACCTCTAGAGATCATCTAGTCCAACCCCCTGCTCAGGCAGGGACACCCAGAGCACGTGGCACAGGGCGGCATCCAGGCGGGTTTTGAAAACCTCCAGAGAAGGAAACTCCACAATCTCCCTGGGCAGCCTGTTCCAGGGCTCTGTCACACTCACATTAAAGAAGTTCTTCCTCGCATGGAGATGCAACTTCCTCTGTTTAAACTTGTACCCATATCCTATTGCTGGCCACCATCAAAAACAGTTTGGGCCCATCCTCTTTACATTTAGGATTATATTTTGGGTTCAGAGCCAGCCAACTGCTAAACCCAAGGAAGCAAATGAGGAAACAGATTTAGTATAGATCTGCATTTTAAAGCATAGTTAACTTGACATTTAATGTCAATTATGTCAATAGATCTGCATTTTAAAACATTGTTAACTTGACATTTAATGTCAATTATGGTTATACTGAGTATAGTCTGCTCTATAAGAGCGCTAAGTATCACCTGCACCAACTCAGTTGGAATATGTGAACAGCCTGAGTTCAGTATTTCTACAAAAGCAAATCATACAGAGGCTAACCTTGCAACTGCAGGGAGTTCCAGCATGTTCCTATGACCTGACAAGTAGGTATATAAAAATCATATTGTTTTTACGAGTGGTTGGACTGTGCTAACGCGGGTCACAGCTGTCCTTTCTACTAAAATATTACCCATTTTTATTCCAAACTTTTTATTTCAGACCGCTAGGTGGTGGTAGTTCCCTTTTTATTTTTCTCCAAGCATCAAAAGACTCACAGAACAGGATCTTGCTGGCAGGATTGAATGTCGTGAGCATATTTGAAATTCTTTCAAAACAATTAAAGACTTGCATATTTGTTCTCTAAAGCTTGCAGTGTGCAACATTTGTTTTAGATCTGGGGTGGCATGTCTTTAATATTCCATACACTTTCAGATGAATGTGTTATTTCCAATAGGTGTTTTCGCTTTCTAAATTACTATGATATCAAAGCTCTCTGTTTTGTTTTTTTTTTTTGTTTTTAATATAATTCTAACTTGGACATTTAATTTTTTATGTTTTTTTTCTTATCTTTGGCCTTTTTTGCTTTCTTCATCTTTTAAATAATATGTGGTGCCTGCTCCTCTTGTAATCCATTTTTTTCTCAGAAGATAATCACAAAGATAGATTCAACTTTGTAAAGCTTGCCCAATTTGCATATGCAAACCTAGGAAGCTTGGATTGAAAATTAAGACAGAGCATTACAGCAAACATTCAATCTTGTAGAAGATACTGGAAAGAAAAGTAAATTGAGGAACTCTCTCATTCAAATCCCTTTTGTTACATTTCTCCTCTCCAAGGTGTGTTATTGCTGAATAGAGGGGAAAAAGTGTTTAGACCTGTAACACCTAGATACAGTAGTGCTTTATAAAGGCAGACATTACAAATTGTCTAGCATGTGTAACACAGGAAAGTGAATCTATTTTTTTCTGTTTAAGAGGATGATTTTGGAAAAAAAATGTGGAAGGAATGGACATTGACAGGAAACTTCCTGTATGTTTTTGTGCAGGAGGTATCACATATTCTTGCTTTCTACACTAGCTGGCAGGAGTAAGCTCGTTATGAGTATAATGGCTGTATAAGGATAGCTTTATACTTAAAGACACTGGACTTCTTTATAAATTTCTTCATAAAAATATTTTATGGCAGCTCCTTAAAGGGGACACACTCATATTAATAGTGCTGATGCTGGTCTAGGGATTTTAAATTAACACAGTTTGTTCTCACCTTGTTGATAACTTGTTAAAAACCTTTAAAAATAAACTAATGAAAACTCACATTTAGACCAAATTGCTGTTTCTCTTTTTAGAGTTGGTTTTAAGAAGACTGTTAGTGTTTCACAAAGCCTGTGAGTTCTGAATAACAGTTGTAAACTGTTCTAGCATAGTAAGTGTCACTTACTACATTCTCTTCGAAGAGGTGCTTGAGTTATTTATTACTTGGTTAATAGGACTGGAAACCTGTGAACTGCATGCGTTGTAAAGCTATATATATTTGTGCTTTTAAGAATGAGTATTGAAAGGGTCAAAGTACAATAATAATTTAAACTTTTACAGGACTGAAATCAATTGTTACTATATATAATATATCACAATTTCAGAGGGTTTTGTTTTGTTTTGTTTTCGATACTGGGAAGCTAACAGTCTTTTATTTCAATGTGGTTTAATTCAGCTTTTTCTTTTCCAGGTGGTTTGGAGTCACTGAAAAATCTTCAACAGTTAATCGTGGATCATAATCAGTTAATCAGTACAAAAGGTCTCTGTGAAGCACCTACTCTCATGCACCTAGATTGTTCTTTTAATCATCTTACGCAAGTTGAAGGCATTGAGAATAGTGGCCTGCTTCAAATTCTGAAATTACAAGGCAATAACCTCCGGGAGGTAAAAAGCTTTGAATTAAATGTGATGTTTATTATACATACTTCTTTGTTACTGGTAATATTGTTCAGAATGTTGATTGTGAACTGGTTTGATTTTTTTTTTCCTTCTTCTCTCTCTCTTTTTAGTGGGAAGTTTTTTTAAAGGCACAAATGGCTGGTACTATAGCTAAGTATTTGCCTGCTCCTAAGCACTTTAAAAATTGTCCCCAAACCAATTATATTTTATAGCAAGTAGTCTACAGGTTGCGTTATACAACGCTGATCCTCTGTTTGTAATGTAGAAAAATGTTACTATAGCTACAGAGAAGTAATAGCTTAGGTTTATTTCACAAATGCTGATTTTCCAAAAGTTGAAGTTTGTGTTGCAGCATCAAAATAAGAAACTAGTTTGATAACTGTACACTTAGTTATCTTTACTAACAATGAGACTCTCATGAATCTGTTAGAGGAAATCCATTTTCAAAAAGAAGCATATAACTTCAGCATAAAATAAAAGACTATGGTTCTCTTTAAAAACATACGTACTCGATATGCAGTGCATGTAGAAGACATATAGAAATGTTTACAAGCTGGTATGTAGAAATTGTATGTAACAATTGATACATATATAATAAGCAAATGATACATATGTCCAAAGTGTGTTTTCACTTGTATTACTTCACTAATGATTGATGAAAAGCATCTGGCAAGCATTCCATTATTGTTTCTCTAATTTAATATTAATTTTAAAATAACCTTCTCTTTTCAATTTAGCTTCCAAGACTGGAAAATCATGTTCTGCTAAGAGAACTGTATTTGGATGACAATAGCATCTCTTCTATGAGAATATTTTCCTTGTTTTGGTTGCCTTTGTTGCAGATTCTTTCACTGTCTCAAAATAGGTAAACAAAAACATTCTTCTGTTTAACAAAATCAATACAATATTTAGCAATGTAGCTCTCTCAATGTAACCAATATAATTCTGAATGCGCTGAAAATATCACCATCTTGTCCAGTTCTTTGAAGAAAGGTATTTGACAAATAACTATGTTGTCCACTTATAGGTAAGAAAATTTGAAACAGCAATTACTATGAAAAATACATTTTTTAATAGATATTGTATGAAAATGTGTTTTGAGCATTGTGGTATTAAAACCATGGTGGCTTATTTTTCTCCTTACTTTAAAAGCTGTTTCGAGAATATCACTGTCAAACTTCATATTTCACAGCCAGCTTATTCAAAACAGACTTTGAAGACTATGTTAAATGCTAAATAAGAGTACAGACTAGAACGTTCATTAGGTTGTTTTTATTTTACATATCTGATGTGTTAATGTCCCAAAAAACAACCTTTAATACTGCTTATTTGCCTTTTCTTCATTGTTATGATTCATTTTGAAAAGTATACAAGTGGATGAATCAACAACCACAATAAAAAACTATACCATGAGCTAAAGTATTATGTAATTAACTTTCCGTTCTATTTAATGAATTAAATTCTGTATGCTTATGGAATTAGAATGACCAGATATTCAGAGCTAAAATCTTGCTTCTCCCCACTCTTTTATTTATAATTGTTTTTTATTGTTTTAATTGAATATAATTTTCCAAATTTTAGTAGTAAAATGAATTTTGAAAATAGATTCATTCATATGAATTGATTTTTTTCCATAGTGTCAGTTTCATTCTGAATACTACTGATCCCATTTCAATGCTGAGAATATCTCATTTTGAACCAACTGCTTATTGCTCCTGTTGCAGTTGGTGAAGGGGAAGAGATACTTGTAGAGTGTGACTCATCTGAAATTTTTAGACATCTATAGTGAGATTAATTACATCCTACAAATATCTGTTCATCTTCACAGACATATAACAGTCTAGATGACCACCTCACATGTAGGTGTCTACATTTAAGCAGATGAACCCCATCCTATGCAGCAAAACCAAATAGCTTTGAGTCTGGAAGGAAAAAAAAATCTCTAAGTCTGAACCCAGTTATCATAAAGGATGTTCTTCTTTACAGAAAATTTATTGCTGTTTGAGTATATAAACTTTATATAACATTATATAACTTCTCAGATTTTTTTTTAAGTCATTTCTAATGAACTAAGAGGCATGTAAACTCTTTGATGTAAATAGAACTTAGTTTCAAGTTGCTGGGGAAGGGGATTTTAGTTCTGGAGCCTGGAGAAAGTGCTTCCTCCTTGTGACTAATGAGAGCATTACCTGCTGAATGTTAGATTCTAAATTAAATCAATATGACTAATTCAGAATATTAGATAAAAATATAAGGCTATATGCATGAATTTAATAAATTGTTTGGATATTGATTTGTTTATTAGATAATGCTTTTCTTTGTTTGTTTGTTTTTCCTGTTGATGTTCTGTCTTTCTTTTTTCATCTTCCCAAAGAACACACACTAGTGTGGCTGTATCTTCTTGCAGTTTCCTGCTCAGTCCCTAGTTTGTTTTTTGCTAATGTTGAGATGTGGCTGAACTGTATGTAATAAGATGTTTTCATAATTGCTTGAAACTTGGGTTGGCTTGCTATGGAAACAATGTAATTAGGACAATAGCATCAGGAATACCTGGAGCGGTGCCTCTAGATTTTGGTTGTGCTCGACTGACATTGTAGATACGCTCTGTCTCTTACCTGTCCCATGAGCTTAAATTTTTTATTCTCTGTCGAACTGCTTTTGCTTTTCCAGTAGCCAAGGTGAGAGGCAATGTTTGGTCAGTTGACTTCCATCAGCAAATAAGATGTTTTGCTAGTAATATATTGATATGTTGATGATAAACACGTTGATGCATTGATAACGACATAAACAAACATGTTTATACTGAAAATAAATACAACAAAAAATGCCACAATTTCATTTCTTTCCTTTGTGTTCATTCCTTATCTCAAATCTGTGAGGGAAGCTGGACAAGATAGCATTAAGTGCAGATTAAAAGCCTGAAAATTCCTAGCATTTCAGTAGCCTGCTCTGTTACACTCATTTTATGTACACTTATAAGCAGCTCCATATGTGTCTGCTAGACCATAAGTAACTCGATGTTCTATATAGAAACAATGAATGTAATGGAGTAAGCTGTTGAAAGAAAAGCTGTTTCTTTGCTTTTATCCTACAGCTAGTGCGATTTTGTGATTTTTTGGGGGGATGATTTTTTTTTTCTGCATATGCACTGAGAGCCATTTCCTTTTTATTGATTGCACAAAACCCATATAATAGTAATGCTGACAAGCTGTGGTCTTTCTGAAAATAAAGTACTGTGAAAAAAATCTTACATTAATTTATAGTTTTTTTATTATTATTTCTGACATTCTTCATCAGTATCATAAAGCAGAAACTGATAAATAAAAAACAATTCTGTTTTAAATCTGCAATGTAACAAGGAGTTACAATAGAGCTGAACAACACGTACTAAGTAACTCCTTCAAATATACCAATGGCAGCTATTTCACCACTGCTGCTTTTATCAGGAGTGTTTGACTTTCACATACCAAGCATATACTCCATCCATGCAGTAGCTACAGTAAATTATGTTGGCTTTATCACTGTGGAAATGAGGCTATGAAGATTTGTGTTCTTCCTTATAGCAGATGGAGAACACAAGCATTAAGTTAGTTTATAAAAGGAACACTTTTGATTTTTGTTAAAGCCTTTTTTTTGGTGGGAAAAATCAAACCTTGCTACTAGTACAAAAATGAATATGCGTTTAATATGAATTAAAAGATCCTGTAGTATTTATATTTAGTTGTAATCCAGGTCAATTATTTAGCTTCTTTGGTAATTGCTTTTATATAAAAAAAGTTTTACAAAGAGTTCTAAATCAAGCTACTGTTGAGATAGCCAATACATTTTTATGTGTAATTTCAGAATAGATAAATTTCTGTGTCTCAAAATTTCTGCTTTAATGTGGCAAGGCTCACTTTCTGTTATCTGTAGGGTGATATGAGGGTGGTAGGTGAGAATTTAATTATTTAAAAAATTGAGATCCAAACCTCACCTCTCAACACTCACTCAAAATTACATTTTGAGTGAGTGTTGAGAGGTGAGGTTTGGATGGACAGGGTCATAATCTTTGTGAACATGGTGCTCATATGAATGTTTTACAACTAGATATATACTGTTCTTAAATGTCTTGAAAAAGAAATGTTAAAAGATAAGCTCACCACTTAATATATATCACTTTTGTTATTTCAATTCTATTACAGAATGTTTGTGGTTTTAAAACAATATCAAATGAATGAGTTGAGTTCATTGTCATTGCAAGCCATTATGTTTTTGATTGTATTTTTCTGGAGTCATCTTGATAAGTCTAAATGGCACTGGATAAGTCTAATGGCACTTCAGTCATGAGCAAATTTAGATACCATACTTTTCTTTTTCTTTAGCATATGGGATTTCTTTTTTGATTTTAAGTAATTCTTTGCTGACAACATGCTTATCTCCAAGAGTCTGACACCAATACTATTGAAGTATTGCATGCCTAGTTATTCAAGAAACAAGTGCCTGATTGAAAGAGCTCCTTTATTATGATTGACTGATTCCTGTGAATATGGTGAATATTGTAAACAAAAATGTTGTTTTTACTTTAAAGGATGCAAAAGATATATATGCACTAGTTGAAGATCTCTATCAATATAAAATTCATTCTTAATTATCTTACCCTCTTTCCGGCTAACCTCATCACGATATCTTTTCTTTTTTTCTGGGAAGAAGCAAACACACAGCAAAATCTGGCCCATTCTGAGTAGTGATTGGTATACATGTTCTGAAATGCAGTCTTTATTTTCTCTAGTATATACTTACAAGTCTAGTCTCTTAAATGTTCTTTTCTGTTTTCAAATTTCTGTGGTTATCTATGTCTTGTCCTTAAATAGGAGCAGAAAGAGGAAGCTGTAACTTTCTTTTTTTTTGAATATCTTTTACTTTTGTGTCTTCTTTGTAATTTATATCTCATATGCCCAGGGCTAATGTGACAAGGTCAAGTAGTATTAAGTTTTCAGTAATGTCCTTTGTCTTTCTGGTTTGAATTTTCGTAGGAGAAAAATTAACAAAGAATGTCAGTAAAAGGATAGCTATAGGATGACGGGGAAAAGGTCTAAGTCTCATAATGCCAATGGCAGACAAGGGGAATCCAGTGATTAAATAGGATTTCTGAAGCACCACAGCGTAAAATGATAAAGATCCACCTACCTAGCATGCTATAAATAAAAACTTTGTCATTGTCTTATGTAGCAAAAAAAATACTGCAAAAATTATGCTTCAGTCCCTTGTACCAAATACAGTTTTTTATTTTCCAGAGAAATTATTAATCTATAATCCATTGATAGCTTTTCAGTTTGTGTGGCTTTAGTATTTGCCACTGATATCTGTATTGATATAGCTGCTATGAATATTAAATATATCTACTACTTGTCATTAAAAACAATATTTGTAGTACCCATCTCTAATTACGAGGCTTAATCCTTTTTACACTTAATGCTCCATAGTTTCTCGATTCCCTAGAAAGCAGTCCGGGAGGTAGAAGGACTATTTTAAAGTACTATTTTTTTTTTTTTTTTGGAGAAACATAATGACACATATTTATTTGAGTTCATATCTGATTCTCCAAATCTACAATTAAAATGTTCTGTTTTCATATAGAAATTCTGCTTTGTCATGTAAATGTGGAAATTAAATGATTTTTTTACCAGGTTTTGTGCATATTTTCAACAAGGATAAAGAATCTACAATCAAAACTAGGTTTGGATTTTATGAACAAGACTTAAACCCTCTCTGCCTTTCAGCTCTCTGCCTTTCAGCTGGAATTTCTCTTTTGGAGAGCAAGAGATAGTCACACATTACAGCAGGAAACAAGCATTTTCAGTTCTGACCAGTTTTAAGTTTGTTGATTGAATAGACTTAATTTTTTCAAATGGCCACATTCTTGACCATAAGACTTTTTGTTTTACTACTTTCAAAATCAGTTATATACTGCAAAGAAAAGTAATATTCTTACCATCAAAGAAAAGTAATATTCTTACCATTAATATTAACAATTACAACCACAGACATTGCCCCATTCTCCTCTGAGGCTTCTTAGGGCTTGTTGCTCCGTAAATGAAAAAAGTTACCTGAAAGTGATTTAGTTGATTTAATATGTGTTTGTACATAAACATTCTAGATTTAATTGAAGACTGGTATTTTACATCTTGATCTTTTTTTCCCTTTCCTTTTCATATTTAAGCTAGAAGAAAATAAATTTTTAATCCAAAATGTAGTGTTTGGAAACAGCATTGCCACTCGCATGATTTCAACATATTCTTAAGTGCACCACTGCAAGTTTGTAAGCAAAAAAACCTTTCAACAATGCCATATACTATAAATTTTAATAGTAGTGATAATACACCCTTTATGGTCCAACGTAGCCTATGTCCAGATCATTGTTATCTCAGTTTCCTTATATGCACTTTGCAAAGCTGTCGATAGGATTTTTGTCATAGTGTTCCACTGCTTTCCTGATGTATTATGTGAGGAAAGCTCTGATATGCAAGAAGAGCATTTCCATACCTGGCAGCCAGCTGACAACATGTTACAGAAGTAGTAAGGCATAGAAAACATTAAAAAGGCATTACAGGAGTGTGCAGCCTTGATCTGTTAGGAAATTGAAGTGTGACAATTTTTTTTTTTAGCCTCTAGGAAAGTAATGTGAGTAGGGAAGAGAAACAAACAAGCAAAAGTTAAGAGAAATTTTAAATGGAGGAAAGAGGGAAATGGTATTTAAAAATAAATATAAATAATAAATGGTGGGAGTGTTAGATGTGTGCTTGTTCTGGTGCCTAAAGGAAAGCCAATTGCATCATTTGTAAACTTTACAAGACTGCAGACCCATTGAAGTGAATGTAAGAAAAACAGAATAAAATTTTTGCCAAAGAAAACAAAACATTAGTGAGTAACAAAAAATAATCATCTGAATTATTGCTACTTAAAAGATAAAGAAATGCTTTCAAGTTACAGAAAGAATTTCTGTAATTAATTGTAGCACCCTGGATAGCTAAATGAGTATTTACCCACATAAATGAATAAATTCCCCTACCTGCAAATGATTCTGCTTCCTACCCCTTTGTGAACTGCTGCTCTTTTAATTGAGAAAGACTGTTCTGTTCTGTTTGTAGTTTGACTGAGCTTGCACCTTTAAATTCATGTGTATCTCTGGAAAAACTGGATATCAGAAATAATCGTTTGTCAGGTGAGTTATGTAAAAAGAAACAAAAATCTCTTTAAAGATAAAGCAAATCCCATCTGAACAAGAACTTTCTAAATAAAGTACCATGTTTGTTGAGTCTGTGTGTGTGCAAATATTATTCAAAATATATAATTTAGAAGACATGCAGATATTTTTCAAATATGGATATTATAAATAGTAGCAGTACAATATAGCACAATTGCTTCATGGTCTTGGTACATTTTATTTGCATATAAATTTTAAGCAGATGTAGTATAAATGTTATGATTCCATGCTCAATTTGATATTTTTTTTCCTAATACAATACAGACCTAAAAAGTGTAATCGTATGGTTAAATGGCTGCCATAAACTAACTGAGTTGTCACTCAGTGGAAATCCACTTCTCCAAGAAAGGACATGGAGGTAAGAAAATTTTAATTTACTAGATAGGAAAATGAAACTTGGCCAAAAAAATTAGAGGTATACAAGTATTTCTTAAGTTAGTTAAATATTAAATAGAAGGATATTACTAAAATACATTTTTAGTGTGGAATTATGTCACCAAATAAATGTATAGAGTCATTCTTCAGCTAATTTTATGCTACTTTAAATGTGCTGTCTGGGAGAAACTGGAGACATATCACAATATAACACAGACTGTCAGAGCTGCATTTGTTTGACAGTAATTTGAAAAAATACATAAATGAATACATTAATTGACATTAAATTTACCTTTCTTTGGAAATTTCTGTAGATGTCTAGGCAAAGTATGTACCAGCAGCATCTAAAACTACATAAAATCTATTTTATAAGCTATAGATGAACTTTCCTTCATCTGCATTTATGCAGATAGATATTTATATAAAAGATCTTTTGTTTCTTTGCTTTGTGCAGAGTCAACTTTACTCAAATATATGTGTGCAAGGACTCACGTGAAAATTGGGCTGGTTTCAAAACACCTTTACCACAATTCTTCCCCCTTTATGCAATTCCAGTTCCAGAGCTTAATGCAAAAAATTCTATTAACAATCATGCAAATTAAAAATGGAAAAAAAAATCCCAAGAGTCATTGTGGAAACATAGTGCAAAATTGCCATGAGAAACCTTTACATGAATCTTCTAGACTTTTTATGTTCAAAGATCTTTAGTTAAGGAAGATAAGTTAGTTAAACAACAACAACAGAAAACACTTCTGCAGTTCCTGTTCTTACAAACATTAGGACTGTATATTAATGTGATTTTATGGTGATAGTCTTTCCTTCTTTCTCATTCTTAATCTACCAAAAAAAAAAAAAAAAAGAAAAAAAAAAAAAAAAAGAATCTGTGAAGGGACCTATAAAAAAAAAAGTTGATAATTTACTCTGATGAGTAAGGCTCCTGTGCCTTGAGTTTCTTGGTCTTTGCCTTACCAAACAAACATTACCATGCAAATTTTGCAAACATTAGAGTTTGGCACTTCTAAATAAAGAAAAACAGTTGTGTTTTCTCCCAAGTTTATTATCATTCTCCTTAAAGGTTTTCTCAAGCTTAGAATACAATTCTTTTAAGTCTCTCTTTTTTATATTTTTTCTTTTTTTTTAATTTAATGGGTTTAGAAAGATTAATTAGGTCATTTTAGTTCAATATTTTCTCTTCCATTTACAGATAGGAATATGTACTGGGCTGATTTGGTACAGACATTTGTCACTCAGCGATTTTGTAGCATACATATTGCTTCATCTCTGTTCTCCTTCTGAAACAGTGAGCAAATTTAAATTGGCAGGTTTACTGTTTTACATGTGTTTGAATTACTGAAATCCTTGTCAGAGGCCAACAGAACACTTTTTTGATAATTCCAGCAACTGATAACCATAGAAAAGCTGTTCAAAAATCAGTTTCATTTCTATAAACATATTTATTTAGTAATTGGTTATAAGATTATGTTTTAAATGCAAAGATATATAAAATACATTCATATAATTAATCATATCTCTGAGATTTCAATGTTTCTAGTGATTCTAACCTATATTTTTAAAAGAATGATCTAAAGTTTGGCCTAAGAGGGCTTATGTTTATTCTTGGTTATATCAAAACTTATTATATAATGACTGTGTACCTTACTTCCAATATTTATAAAATATAGTTTTTCTTCAAGCCTATGCTGTCAGCATTAATTCATGCAATAGTAACTACACTATAAGATTCTATAATTTTTATACTGAATAAGAATATTTAATTGCAACCTTTTGTGTAAGTTAGTGAGTTTTCCATGCTGTTTAATTGCTATCTTAAGTGAGTATTTTTCTTTAGGCAAATGCAGAAATTATGAAGATGATATGTGCCTTCTTTGTGACTCTATTTTTTAACTCTCCATTTATGTGTTCCTTTTTTTTAGCATGAATTCTGGTGTCTGACTTTATCTCCTCAGTTTACCACCTTTCGTATACCTTCAGTTACATTAGCCTTCTCTCTGAGATTTTGTCTGATGCAACCTCTATTACCTTATTTTACATTTCACTACAATATTTGCATAGAAATATGACCATCGATTCATCTATTTCTCCTTTACTTTAGTCTACTCTGATTTTACTCTTTCCAATTACAGAATGTTCTCACACTGTTTATTTGTCCTTCTCTTGGACCACTAATTCTTCCCTGTCCATCTATAGCTTCTTACAGTGTTTCTCATTTTGCTTTGCTGTCTTTTGTTGTCCTGTTTAGTCCCTTCCATCACTGCATCAACCTGTTTAAGAGACTTGCTACAATGGTAACTTGAAAAGGAGTAGTGCATTCCCGCCTATAGTGAATGTATAGAGGAATGCTTAGCTTAGCATCTTCAAAGGGAAAAAATAGATTAAGTATAAGCAGAAATTAATGGTTGATTCTGTTCTGGTAGATGAAGTTTAAGTTGTTATTCTGAGAAATTCATATTTCCACCAGAAATTAAGTATTCTTAAGATTATGAGAGATGCAGCCATAAAAGTAATACTGCTGTTCTTTCCACTCCAGTAACATACTATACGTATCTCAAACTTGAGGAACTTGTCCTAGAGACTATTACATGTGTCAAAACTAGAAAGGAAACTTCCCCTGTATAATGAGGCACAGTCATTACAAACCCTGAAATGAATAGTTGTGCTAGAATTGAAAAATTAAAAAAAGTCAAATTTGTTTTTCCACTGAAATACAAACTACAGATTTATGCAAGCCTTTTTTTTTTTTTTTTTTTTTTTGATCAGAAACGTTTTTAAAGCTTTTTAAAGGATAACTTTATAAATAAGTATATATGCATTTCATTACAATGGACTGATATGTTTGTCAAATATAACTTTGTGAATAAAATTCAATGACTGTGACTGTGATATTAAGTTCACATTTGCATTGATTTAATTTCCACTGTTCTACAGAACTGGTATTTCACTTGTAACCTGGAGGGGAAAGCCTTTCTGAATTCTAGTTTAAGTATATGAACTGACGCCTTAGATTTCCTTTAGATTGTTTGACCCAGTAGAGCTTTTATGATTAAACAAGAGATTCATTTATCTAGAGGATTTAAAGTATGCGGTGCTATAGAATATGGATTTGCTGAATACAGCATTGACTGTAACTTCAGGCAATGTGTTCTAGTGAACTTTACATAACCCCTTGATACCAACAAAGGAATTAGCTGTAAAATTTCCCGATCGGTTTTGTACTTTCATGTTCGGCCAGCGATAACACCAACAAAGGCAAAGTAGTAAGAAACTGCGTTTTAAAAATTAAACCCTGGGATCAGTCTGAGCACTCCTAGGGGAATGTGTTTCAATGCTATAATGATTTATAGAGCTTCTTAAGTGACAGAATATTCACCAGGAAGTTTTCACTAAATGAAATATTGACTCAGCCCTTCACCAGGAGAAACCCAGCTGGAAAAACTACTGTTGAGATCCCTTAGCTCTAAGACACAATACTTCTAGTATCAGTCAATATGATATGACACTTTTAAAAAATGTATCACTATTCAATATCAGCTTTGGTAATTCCTCTTTTGTTCAGAGACTAAAACCCTAATTTTCTTCTGAATATCTTTCATTCATTGTTATCTTACAGTAATGGGCAATGAAGACAGAAAGATTTGTATTTGCATTAAGTAGCATTCTATTTAAATAAGCCACATTTTGGAATATTCTAATTCAGTTATAGAAACTTTCTCTGTTTTGAAACCTAATGTTACCCTTTCAACGAAATCATCTCTTACTACTGCAGAGAATAGTCAGGTGGCTCTAAAATTTTAAAAAACCCTTAATCTTTTTTATAACAATTTTTCAACATTGTTCCCTTTTGGAGGAACAATAAATATTCATATGTGTTATTTAAAATTAATTCAATGGAATTATTGTGTGTTGACATACTGATTTTAAGTTTTCTGCAGTCTTACAACTTTAAACAAAGTTGAACTAACATGATATATGTGGAACAAAGTTGCAATACCAGACTATATTTCACAATAACCTAAAAAAGCCTCAATAATAATATTTCTTAAAATGCTCAGTGTTTTTTGTATGTATTTTTTTTAATACTGATGGCCCTGATTGCCCTTTTCTTAATATCTTATCTCTACTGCTATCCCTTTCTCTAACCTGAGCTTAATATTTCACAAGTGGACCTCACTCAATTCAGTGAACTGGTTAATACTGTAGTCCAGTCAGGCAATGATTCAATACAACTTATGTGTAAATATATGTAATGGATACTTAGAAGAATTAAAATGAAATGGTTTAATAGCTACTCTTTTTTTTTTTTTTAAGGAAGTGAGCTAAGCTTTTTATGTTTGAATATACAAACTGAGATTTCTTTTAAGGCACTGGATGCTTGTGAATACTCTTAATGGTCATGGGACTAATAGCCATGTGCAAATAGTTTTGTGCCATTTGCCTATCATGTAGCATTTTTTATAATTGGCAGAAGATTTCATACAGAATTTTTTCATAAAGTTAATTTTGACTTCTTTCTTTCTTTTTATTTCAAGATCTTCCCTATGTAAGGTCCTTAATAACTTACAGCTTCTTAATGGTGAAAACATAAATTATCGTACTTTGCTCAAAATTGAAAGAATCAAAGAATCAGAACCAAGAACTTTTCTAGAACTTTGTCAGTCTCAAATTGAAGAAAATGTTCTACTTGAGAAAAAGACTGGCAACTTGGGGTATGTATCAATGTGAATGCAAGTTGCCTTCAGAAACGTGTTTTGATGTATACTTAGGGTAGTTCTCTATGCTTTCCCTATGAATTTTAATTAGACTAGAAACGTGGATTATGTTAGTAAAGAAATTATAAATCATTAAGCTCATTGTAAAGAGTATTGCACCTGTTTTCTGAATATTAATGAGAGAAAAGCCAAGGTCCACAAATGTTTTCACAGAAAACTCTCAGTATTGCATTCACTTTAATATCCAACTTTTTCGTTGATGTTTGCAAAGAACTTGAGTCTGTGTGGTACTGAATATTCTCCCAGAGCAGGTGCAGAATCTAACATCTGATTCTCCTCTAACATTTGACTCTCCTTTGTTAATTCAGGTAAAGTTCAGGTGTTAAAACAGGAAAAGTACCTATATTTTTTTAGAAACTCACCATTTTGTATTTGCACAAAAGGAAATGGTATCTGACTACAATCTAATGGGATATTACTTTCCATGTATGGGGACAGACCAATGTGGTATTAGTGGATATTAAGTGTTACTGTCATATTCAATAACTGCATTACTGAGTTGCTTAAATTCTTCATCGCCCATAAAACTAAGATTTCCTTGAAAATGGATTAAGATTTAGATTGGAATTAGTTTGAAAAAGCTATATGGTGTAGATTCTCTGACAGATGCAATGCCTAGATGACTCCTGGAACTCCTCTCTTTCTCTGTTGAACCCTTGTGAAGGCATCTCCTTCAGTTCTATAATTCATGGCTTCTGGTTTGCAGATGGGAAGCTGGTGCTTTCTAGCCTATTCACTGTTTGAAGTAGTGTTTTGTTTTGTTTTGTTTTGTTTTAAGGAAGAAAGGAGAAGAAATAAGAAAAAAAAAGATTAAAATGCCCTTTTTACAGTAGAGATCATTTTGTCATGTCCAAAGTTTAGGACCTGTTTTGTTAAAAATGCTGTTTTGTTTAAAAATGCTAGATTGGAAAATGATTTGTGATAGAGCTTTAATAAATTCTCACTTTCACATACATTTATGTAAGAAGGTTGGTGCCAAGAGCAAGATGCTGTTCTCAAAATGTAGTGGTTTATTTCACCATGACTCAGAAACATGGACAAGTAGATGGGAAAAAAAAACTTAGTGGATAGTCAGGCACAGAGTAATATAACTAATTAATGTAACCAATTTTTCATAATCTGATTTTAATAAGAATTTGATAATTCATTCACAGCAACTTTTAAATTGGTAAGTCTGACATGGTTGAAGTATCATATATGAAATTTATTTTTAAAGTGCATTTCTTATTGGTTCAAGGCCTCTACATTTCATTTTGGCTAAACATACATTCTATGGATGATTTAAAAACCATTGAAAACTGCAGTTCATAAAAGAAACCCTAAACAACATGTACGTATATAAACTTTAACAGCACAGCTATTATGCATACATACTGCAATATTTTATCCAAATTGACTGAATTAATGTGACGTTGCTTGAGAACAGGCCAAAAATAGAGCAAACTTCTGTCTGCTTCACATCTTGCTAAGTTATGAGCCCCTGTAGGTACGACCTCAAGTATGTAAGCTGCCAAAAGTAATCACTGCTTGGTTCCCTAATCCATGTTTCATACACCAGTGCTGCTCAATTAAGTTGTCTGTGCTGTTTCTGCCTGCAGAGTTACTACTGTTCTTACCATGCTTAAGAATTATGTTTATTTTTAATTAAATTTCTTCATTCTAATAAATGACTCCTGTCATAATCTTCACATATCCTGTAGGCAGTGATCTTACACAAAATTATCACAACACTATGGTTGCTATAATTTGCTTTCACTAATTAGATAAGCTAGTGGAAGTTGAAATTCACAAGTACTAAATTTGTAATGTACAGAAAATAACAGGAATCTTGTAAATGGCATTGCCATAGAAAAAGAGTAAACTAACCTCTTTGAAGTATTTATAAAGGACTTGTGTAACCTGAATGGGAATATCAGAAATGGTGTTTATGTAAGTGTCCCCTAAGACAAATTAGATTTTACCATGCAATTACAGAAAAAAAAACCCATACTTTAAAATATGAGTACAATACCTGAATACGCCATGTATTGGAATTTCCACATTCCTCTTACAAACAATTGAATGCTTACAAACAATTGGAACAAAATGACCAATTTTTTTTTAGTAGATGACTTAAAAGAATCACAGTAGGACAGCGATATGAGAAACATAGTATTAAGTTGTGTATTAAGCTAGCAGTGAAACAGGGGTAAAATCTTATTTATTATTTACCTGTAACTTTGTAACATTATAGACAAAATTCTTGATCAGTATGAGCATCAGCAGATATTGATACAGAACTTAAAAATTCACACATTGAACATATGCGCAAAGATGTTATATCTTATCTGAACTGTTCTGGCACCTCCTCTTCCCAAACATGGCATGTGAAACTGGGCAGCACTTATCCTAGCTTTATCAAGAACTTATTGATAGATACTGAATGGTGGATGGATGGTAGGACTGGAGTCATTAATGATAGATTCCTGATTTCAACCCCCAAATAGCTTATAATCTTAAATCTATTGATTTTATCCGTCCTGTAAGCGTCAGGGAAACCCTAACATAAGTCAAGAGGTATGTTTTTAGTAAGTAAGGTATAGATGGGTGTGTTTGCAGCACATTTTCTGAAAGTGGGATCTTGATCCATAGGTAGCAGCAGGGCAGCTATTCTAGCATAATTTTATCTTGATCCAGAAGTCCAATCATCTCTTCCTCTTCTCGCTTATTAGGCTTTTTCCCTCATTGCTAAAGCAGAGTATTAGGGAATTTCACACTCTCTCCATTTGTGCCAAAATTTGCATAGAGAGTAAAAGTATTTCCCTTTTTAAAATCAAAATGAGACTGTAGGTAACTATTAAGATTATGGCTTCCAAAACTGGAAGCCGTAAAACTTTGGCTGTAGTAGAACTGTTATATGTGACTATGTTACACTGCATAGCAAGTAGACAGGCAGTAGACAGGACTCCGGTGCTTGCATCAGGAACATCCTATTTCTTGTTTCGTCTAGGTGCCAACTATTAAAGCATCATCTCTATCTTAACCAGAAGCAATCCCAGAAGAGGGAGTGTGAGCAGACTCTTACATCTATAATTCTACAAAAGCCGTGCAAGGCAGATAACCAATTTATAATAATTTAGATTCTGAAAAAGAAATTTTGCAGTAACAAAAGCTCTAACCAATTAAAAAAAAAAAAAAAAAGAGGAGAGGGGGAAGAACTTGATTTAGTTGATAGATTATTTTCATGTTTTTTTCTTATTTTTTATTTTTAAGTTTTAATTTAAATTTTAAATTTATTCTTTACTCTTTTTTATTTTTATTTTTTTTAATAATTGAACATCGCTAAATGATCACAAGTAAGGAACATCATAAGTAAGGATTTGTTTCCACAATAACCATTATAAAAGCTTTGCCTTTCAGGGGTGATGAATACAAAGGAAATTCTGTTATTTAAACAATATATTTAGAATGTGATTTTTCCACACCCTCAAGAGAATCCATCTTGTTTCTGCTTTTTCTCTTGCATCACTGACCTAGAATTGGCTTTATTCTTCTTGGAAAATAGCTCCAGGTGCAAGATCTCTGGATCTATCTCTACTATCAAAGGAAAATGTTTTCCTACTTTCAAAAGCATCTGCTACCTAATAACATGGATAAACACTACCTAAATGCAGACACCCTTCCCTATCTGTAACAATTAGTTCATGTTTGCTCTTACATCTCCTTGTCATTTAGATGGTGTAACACTAAGAACTAATGAGAGCCAGATTTCATAGGTTAACATCGCTAGGCTCTTTTTAACAATCAGAAGGGAAATCAGGTGGTCCATATGCTTCTATTACTCCATCTTATCCCTCTACCAGGCTAATACAGCTTAGTAGATTTAAAACCACAAGTCAAAAGTGAACAAATACCAACAGGAACTCCACTGAATTAACCAGTAATTAACAGTAAATTGCTGTTAATCAGGGAAAAAAATGCAGAGAGTTCTAATTTTCCATAGAAGATCAGTCTAGCACTTTCCCTTACGTTATTAAAAATACTTCTTTTAAAAAGTTTCTGTTATCCTAAGTTCTCCCTAGGGATTGTGGTTTCTTGTTTAGAATCTAAGCTTGTGTTTTGTTTTTATAGTTCTGATCTAAATTTTAAAATTGCTATTATTTTTATATTAACTTTCCTAATTCCTAAATTAAATAGGGTTATTAAAGCTATTACCTGATTTAAAAGAAAAGTACTTCAAATCCTTTAAAATCTGTGGCTACATATGCCTTTAACCACAAAAAATAACATTGAAATTCATACTCCATGCATATTCCAAACAGACTGAAAAAATAAATTAATAGAGTAAAATAATTAATGTAATATATATTAATATATTTGAGATACTACAAAAATAGAAAAAAAATGATCAAGATTTATAAACACAATAAACTGTTTTTCAGTCAGAGTAGTTACTGTTTACTATGTCAAGGATGAGAAAATTTGTAAGGCTACTTTAGAATATAGGGTTGATTAGGGAATAACAGAGGGGATATTTTGTTTTTAAAGAGAATTTTTACAATTTAAAACACATGCAGTCACATTATTATCTTTCTTCAGAATTGTCTCTTCCATTGATGATGCACAGAGACAATGCTGGTACTTTAATCAGCTGATGAAACTTGGTATCGAACATCGACGTGCACATGAGTACGGTGAACTAAGCGTTACTGACAGAGATGGACCAGAAGCACTGCAAAATCACTTAAAACAAACATCCACTGGCTGCCTACAGGAAAATAACCTCTTTATCATGGGTGCGACGGAAAATAAACAGGTCTTGCTGGATCCTTCTGAAAGACAGATTGCTACTGACCATATTCAGACCACATTCATTAACTCCTCCGTACCTGAGCACCGAAAGGAAAATAAAGAACGTCACAGAATAAGGCAGGAGAGCACTGAATCCTGCATTAGTTACGATGGGGAGAGCAAAGACAACACTAACAAATCAGCCCAAATTGCATTGCAACAGTCAGTTACAGCAAGTAATACGGGAAGAAATCTCCAGCATTTTGATACTAATACAAAAAGGTAAGATACAGACATTGGATTGCTTTCAACTAGATTATATGGATTGGTATTAAGCATAATATCATACCTATGTATAAGGACTTAGATCTAAGAAAAAATTCTACAGTAAGAGAATACTAACATTTTCCCATTACTTCATATCTTCTCCTTTTTCACAATACATTCATAACACCAATTTATGAATGTTCAAGTAACATACAATTTTAGGAGGGATTTGGGGAGAGTTTAAATCACGGACTAGTGTAAGGTTTTTGTAGTGCTATTCGTCAGAGATTCCAAATTCATCTGAGCTGAGTTTAGAGTGAGCATGGTTTAGGAGGTAGGAGGGAAAAGCTGCTTCCATCTACCATGCTACTCTCCTGACCTTAGGCCAGACTCCTGCCTCTGAGTGAAGATGATGATGATGAGTGAAGAGCTAACTGTGTGCCCTGCCCTTGGCACTCCCCCAACATGCCTCAACTCATACAGGCAGAGGTGAAGGGCCAGTTCAACTTGCTCTGTGCCCGCATATATTCCGCTGCATGAGGTGGACTGTTTTATTTCCTCCTTAGAATATAATTGCCACTGTTTTATATGGTTCTGGAGTTACAGTCAGGGAGAAGAGAAGCTGAAACTTTTGCCCAGACAGAAGACAGAAAAGTTCAGTTATGACTCTCTTGTAAGAGTTTGGTTTCAAGTTTCATAAATATGTACATATCTTGAATACCCTATGAGAATCAAGGATGGAAGGCACATGTCTTCATTTGCTTTAGAATTGTGGTGAATGGGCAGTAGTTCTTAGTCTGTACTTTAGACAGCAATAACTTCTTATAAAATGTCCTATCTGGGAAGACCACAGAATTCGCTGCTACCTCTCAGGAAACTGGGAGTCAGTATAAGGAAATTGAAAGTTTCCAAAAAAAAAAAAAAAAAAAAAAAAGCCAATTTCTAAAGAGTTTTTTTTTTAGTCTGGCAACTAAAATAATCCAATTTTACTGGCAAGTTTATGTTATTTATAAAGGTCCTTATTTCACTGCTAGGCTGCATATGGCAGCATCAGTAATCCAATCCATTTGGAGGAAGTACCATTCCAAGAAGATAACTGGCTGCACCGAAAAAGAGAACAATCAATTTATGGGTGCTTCAAGAAAGAAGCATGAAGCAGCCACACTAATCCAGGTTGGTTTAGAGTAGTATCCTCTTATTTTTCAGATTTAATAAGAAACATTCTTATTAGTTATGTGAACTTGCAATGATCCTTTTTTTTATGATTTTATTAATAATTTTGTAACTAAAGTTTAATTATATTTGTTTTATTTAATCAGTGTAAGTCTGATGTTTCTGAAAGAAAACATTTTGCTCAAGAAATTTTTTAGAAGCATAAAAATATTTTTCCTTTTATAGTAAAAATTTCTCTGAATTACTTTTGCTTGATTTAATTCTAATTAATTCTAATCAGTTATAATTATAAAATGATACCTTTTAATTATAAACTATATTATATATAATATAAATAATAATATAATATATAACCTATATTATAAATTATAAAACATAATAAATAAATATAGATTATATTATAAATATAGTGATATAATATATATAATTATAAAATTAGTTTTAATCTTACAGACATATAATGCATTGTGCTATTGTTATTGCTGGGGAATGTCAATGCTATTCAACTGTCAGAATAAGCAGTACCTCATAGCATGTATCTGTACAGATCTCTACTCTTCCTATCTCCTCCATCCTGCCTATCCATGTCTCTCTTTTTCTGCCCATGTTCCCCAGAAAGGATAGCTTTATTCATACTGCTTTAGGAACAGGCCCTGGCCTAGGCTCTCCTAGGCTGTCCATGGTAGATTCTGGGATAATAGTTAAACAGGAAGGATTGCTTCATGTCAAAACTCATCTCCATTCCTTGGCTCTGTTTCATTGGTTAATCAGATAGGGCATTTACGAACAAAGCTGCAAAAGACCTACAAAGGTGCAAAGTTTTCCACATTTTGAAGCAAATAATTCAAAATCTAAAATCACCAACAGGATTATTTCAAATTGCAAGTCTTTGATAAAAATATCAATAGTATTGGGGTAATTTAGGAGTGTCAGTTCCACTTTCAGATGAAAAATCTATTTAACTCAGTAGTCTTTATTCATCAAATGACCAATAGTAAAATGCTTAGTAAATACAGCTTATCTTTCATATCTTAGTGTCTTCACTGGAAAGCCACTAGCTCTGAATAACAGTACATCGTCCAGGACCATGGGTTTTTTTTTTTTTTTTCTTTTTGCATCATATTTTGAATGCTTGCTCACATACATTTTGTACTCTAGTTAATATCAAATAGTGATTTTGCAGATGCGTTGGTGTCTTGAATTTAGTTTTCATAGTTCCATCTATGTCATTCTCGTCTCTGAAGTGTGTGGCTAGATCTGATTCTAGGGTATAGTTAGAAAAACTAGCATGTATGTTTTACCTTTCTTTTTCTAATCCTTCTTTGTTCTATTTGTATATTTTATTGTCCTTGCATAATATCATCTAATGATATATTTTTAAATAAAAATATGAGACAGTAAAGAAAGAGTGCGTGAGATGTTTCCAAGAATTGCTACTTGTAAACTAAGACACTTAGTGCAAGTGTATTTTTATTCTTGGTAATTTGAAAGTTAACACTCAGCTTTTTTGTATGTAGTCTTTCCTTTCAGTTTATAATAGTCCCTGAAGGAATTGTCAAATAATTAATTAGTTGACCCAGGTTTGTTGTTGAGGGAGTTGCAGGATTCCTTTCTGCTTACTTGTGGAGAGCCTCCTGAGTACTCTAAGCTTTAGACATATGCTGGCATTTAATTTGTCTTGTAGTTTTAAATGTCACATAAAGTTCAAAAAACAGATCATTGAGCTATTAAACCAAGGCCCAAGATGTTTTATCTTCCTAATGGGATAACACAGAGAATCTGGATTTGGGTTTGATCTATGGCTTTGTATAACATGCTTTAAATTTTTTGTTTAGGCATTCTGGAAGGGCTTTATTTTGCGAAAGAAATTGGCCAGTGCTCTTGCAGCTGTTAAAAGTGATGAAGTGGAGGATGACTATGAAGAAATAGCTGTGGATGATTACACATTTCATGAAGTAAGCACAGTCATTAGCATAAAAATTTCATTCTGTTAAGGCAATCATGTAAGAGTAGACATAAAAGAAATTGAAAGGAGTACCAGGGTTAGAATTACATGTTGGATGTCTAAAGATAAAGAAGCATTTGGTATATATAATTTATTTAAATGTATTTGTCATTAATTAATTGCTTCCTGCTCTTTGAGATGCTCTGGTAGTTTCTATGCTCTCAATATCACACCTACCACACAACTCCATATATTTCTACAGTTGGAGGACGAACAAATAGGAATAAAGAAAGATTTTTTTTTGTTTTTAGAAGTATTTTAATAATACTGATTGTGATATCTAAATTGTAAAACATAACAAAGTAGTTTCCAAATATTACAAAATCTAAAAATTTTTGTTCTGACTCTTGCAGACCATTATCTGGAATTCTCAAGTATTGCTTAAGCAAGTTCTTAAGTATCACAAAATAATACTTGGGTAAAAGATCCTGAGACATGTTAGTGGTAGATTATTAATCTTAGGTGCATTTTGTTCATTTATATGAGGGAATAAGAACAATATAGAAAAAATAAGCTAAGACTTAGTATTGCAAAATCAGAGGTGAAGCATGCTTATGTTCAGTTCATTGTTCTTGTAGACAAAGTGCTAAAGAAATGTAAATCTGAATATAGAGATAAATAATGAACAAAGTATAGTTAAAACATGAAAGAAAAATTTAGAAAGTCTGTGATCCAAAAAATCCACTAATGATTGCTGGTAATTTTTACAAGTTATGTGGAGTTAATAGAGTCCTTTAGGTTTCAAAGGATTGAAACTGAGCCAGAAAATTCCACTTTAAGAAATAAAAAAAGGCTCCTGATTGATAATTAAATGAAAAATAAAGGTATCTACTTGATCAGTCTCCTAACTGTGCTTCAGTAAGCAAGCAAAATAATCTTTAGAGTAGCTTTGCTCCTTAATGGCTCAAAAGAGACAGCCTATCTAGTTCTAGACTCAGTACTCACAGTAAGTCAGCTGTTCATGACTCATATATTTGCTTGGACTATTGCTGTCTCTAATTGTTCGTTACCTTTTTTTATGATTTCATGCAGAGCAAAGAAAACAGTTAGCAAAGTGGCCAGTGGAGTCCTAAGTTGATATGACTGAGGGATTTTTTTTTTTAATTTAATGAATGTTTGTCTATAAATAGTGATGTGCTTATTCAGCTGCTGCATCCTTTCAAGAGCCATTTGTCAACATTCCACTGCACTTCTGCAAAGGAGACTCATGTGATATCCTTACTACTGGCAAGCCGAGACACTGTGTAGCCAGAGTTCACATACTTATATATCTCATAAAAAGTTATGAAAACCAAATATGTAGCAACATATCTGGAGTTGGAGCAGGGCAGTTTGTATGCCAAAGAACTGGAATAACATTTAATTTTTTGTTCTGTCTTTGAGCAACTCTTTTGAGATAGGTTTTCAGAATTTTCAAATTGTAAGATCGTGCAAAATGTTTGGGGCAAGAATCCCAAGGATCTTTTGGTAGATGGGAAATGTTGTGTGTGTGTGTAAACAGAGATCTGGCTTAAATTTAGGATTTTTTTTTTAATTTAAAAATATATGCAATAAAAATCAGTCTCATTAGTTGATGTTCTCTGATCCCTGGCTTCTTTCTAAAATAATAAAAAGCAGAAAGTTGAAGGATTTATTTTTCATGTAGGAAGGAAGTATCTGTTCTTATGTTTTAAAGAAGGAAAATATCCTATTTTGAATTATTCAACAATGGGCCAGAGGCTTCTTTCCTGTAGTTCAACTGAACCATACTTGTTTCACTCTGTCCTGCCCCAATAATCATATATATATATATATGTATATGAATTGTTCAACTAAACATTGAACCATTTTGTTCCATCTGTCTCTCTGCAAATCCATTGCATTTGGACAAGTGGTCCTGAGACAGGGGAGAAGAGGACAACAGTGCAGGCAAAACATCAGGTCATTTTAGAGGTGTTTGCACTGTAGCACGCTCTGGTATTACCACAAATCTTCTCTTTCATCCCCCCGACCTGGGCAATATGGAATCGCACAGACTTCCTACTTCAGCAGAGACAAGCAGGAAAAGCTCAGGTGGGATCTGTACTTCCTCTCCCCACCTTCCAGGCCTCAACGCTTTATAGCGAAGTGCTGGAGCTGAACCAAATAGTGACACGTGGTATTAGTGGCGTGTAGGGAGAAGTGCATATTCCTGGTCTAAGAGTTCCCATATGGTGGGGTGTGAAGAAGGAGAAAAAGATCTGGACACCATTTTGAACAGCAGATTTCACTGCTGATAGAATGAGTGAGAAGCGCAGAAAAACCTCTCCATACCTCAGACTAGTATGAACCTACAAAATCCTGTCCAAAAGTTTAGAACAGTATACTCTTTTGTAATGTCAACTTTATTTTTATAACCGTATTATGCAAAATTCAGTCATTTTGTTTTCATTATTATCTAATATTTTGCAAAATTGTTCATGTCCTCGTGTCAATTGAAACAATTTGCAAATATCACAGTGCAGTAAGTCAATAATACATAGCAATAGGAATCAGATTTCATTAAATAACTGTTCAGTATCTTCATTCTAACCTTAGCAAACTCTGCGCTTTGTGGAAAGTAAGACTGTGAAATACCATGGGAAAAATTGTAGCCTTTTCCCAGGATTTTTTTTTGCACATTTTTCTGCATGTTGAGCAGCAATACATATCACTCATATAAATTTCTTGCATCATATCATGTGAAAAATGGATTGTCCATGACTAATCTGGAGGAAATGCTTTCACCAATCTTGCAATAGTGTGAATAGTAATCTTTTAACCTGAACAGTTTACTGATATCTCCTGGTGTTCACATGAGCTCCCATGCACTGCCAAGACATACAAAGGCAATTGATGGCAGTAGTGTTTTGTCTGATGTATCATAAAATGTCTAACAGGCCATCCCAGATGAGATGAAATATCTGGCCAACAGATGTCTCAGAAAGTATGAGCCTGGTATTCATATTCGTTTTATGTCTTTCATGTGGACTTTGGAAAATTCCAGCCTCTCTGCTCTAGAGAGTCCATCCATGTAGCAAATGGTCTACAAGAGAAAGCTCACTCTAGGCTCTGGTGGACAAAAGCTGGTAACACATTTGCTTGACACAACGCTTAATTTCTGTTCCATGTATCTATGTAATAGCATTTGCATTTTCTTGATAAGAATAAGACATGTATCCAATACAAAATGGCTGAACACACGAAAGACGCAAAGATGAACCTACTGAGTGGGATCTCTTTTAAAGATAATTTTCTACTCAGAAATATAGGCATAGAATAAATTATTTAGTTCAAACAGTGAGTTGGCACGTGGGCATGGATCTTATTCTCTTCAAGATACAAACCTACGCTGATGATTATATGGCAGAGAATGTATACGTCATCTTTTTCAAAATCAAAATTTTTGCATTTAGCTTAAATGGGTTTAGAAAAGTTCACAGTAGTTTGCACAGATACAGTTTTCAAGACTTAATAGAAAGCTTCTTGAAGTAGATGATGACCTGTCAGGCCTCCTATTTTTTGGCTTGTTCTTTTCTGAAATAAAATTCACATTCTTTGACATGTGAGTCTGTGTCTGCCAAACAAATAATGATTATAGAGAAAGTGGAAGATACTCAGGTACGTGGTAAAACCTTAAGTGGACATAGTGTGTGCAGTAAATTTTAACAGCTTGTTTCATTTCAGTGCTTATGCGAGTCATTCCACATTAGTATACCTGTGGTCTTTAACAGGCGCTCATCCTGCAGACATCACTATAGTGACTGTGGGTGTAAATCCACTGAAGGATTTATCAACTCACTCGGATGATTAATGGGTCATATTCTGGAAGTTATTTCTTCATAACCAAATTTGGTACTTTAAGGCTGCCTGCAGCTTTCTAAAAGTAAATTCCTAAAAAAAAAAAAAAAAAAAAAAAAAAAAAGGAAAAACACAGAAAAACACTTTTTTTTACATTTCAGAGTAAGCTTTTATAACACTTATAAACTAGAACAGAATATGCTTTAAAACAGAGTTCAAAGTGAGACAAACCAGGAATAAGGAGTTTGCCCTTGCAATATGACTCTTAATTTAGTGACTTCTGAATTTCAGCAAATTTGTTGGGTCCATGGGGGAAGTCCTTCCATCATTTTCTCAGCCAGAAGCTGGATGCTTCTCTAGTCTCTGCAACCATTGCAACCAAACTAAAATGAAATCCTTCAGAGCTTTCTTTGTGAAAGATGATGTTGCTTGAGACAAAGGGTTATTCTTCTTCCAAGACTGATTCTCTAGATTTTTTTTCATTCCAGTCTCTTTGACAGCTTTTGAAATTCATGACATTTTGAGTTATTCATACTAGGCCACATAGTCATACCGAATTTTTTGCTTGCCTTCCCATACCAGCTGCGTAGCAGTTGTCTGTGAGTATATAGATGGATATATGTATAGAGGTTACATGCAGATGCAAAACTCAGTTTCTTGTCTTTTTATGTTTTTACTGTCATAGAAGCTTAGAAGGTAGCTTATATTTAATGACCCTTGAAAGCTAAATAACACATTGAGCAACAATTTTTTATAATATATATCTCATCTTCATTCTTAGCACACACTCATATTGAATAAGTGCTAGGTGTTTTGATTCTTTTCAGATTATCTTTTCAGATGAAGTTTCTTTTAGCCCATGAACTTTTGATTGCAGGCTTCTGACAGTGATTAGTGTTTTCTTTCTAAAATCTAGACATAAGTGCAGCCTATGGATTAGATATCCATAACATTTCTTGTATCTTGACACCTCTGCACATGTCTAACTGTTGTAATTGCTTATAAAGGTCAGATTAGGATCAAGCCTTTTTTATGTTTTATGCTGCAAAGTATGTGATTCTTTTGATCCTTTTTTTTTTTTAATTAAACTCGATCATGAAGTTAGAGTGTTGTAGCAAAACAAAAAAGTGTATGATGGAAATTTCCTCAGTT